GTAACCTATATAAAAACCTGTAAGTATAAGCAAAAAGATGTTTGGTTTTTAAACTTAATTAAATTTATTTAAATATTAGGTAAGTTTCATTTAGTCTTACACTACACAGTATCTAATTAAATGAATTTTTTAGATACAGCTCTTAGAACAGTGGCAAAAAAAAAATTAATTTCTCACGCAAATCTAAGTAAATAACTTTTTGATAACAAATAATAAATACTAGTATTGTTTTATGTCACAACCGTTCAATATAATTATTTTTGTATTAAATACTTACTTCTAATGACTTTTTCTTACACTAAGTAAACTTTACTTGTCGTTATCATGGCAATTATCTCTTTACTTACTCCACACGTGGTAATTGATAAGTTCAAAAACAAAACAAAAAAATATTTAAATAATTTATATAATTTTCAAGATTTTAAAAAAATTTCTGTAATAATTAAGCTACTGAATAATTATATGTTTAATACCAAACAGTGTATAAGTATTATCTCTTACTAAAAGATCGAATCAGCGAATATAAATAAAGGCGGATGTGTTTTTTTTAAGGCAGCTTGATTGAAGATAATACAATAATGTAAAAAGGAAATGAAAACGATTGTTTTTTTTTATATAAGTTGAACCTATCACAGATGTGAAGAGGTTTGAATAGTTGGAATCTCGATTCAGTGAATATGGTGCAATCGAATTATTCCCGGGTTCAATGTAGTTTAGTTTCAATGTAGTTATAATTTTAATGAAATATATTTCCAAAATTTTAGATTGTTTTTAAAAATTGTAAAATTAAATAAATTTTTTAATATGTCTACCTATGCAGCAACCTAAATAGCAGCTTGCAAATCTTTTTACATAATATTTTTACCTTGAAAAAGAGTAACGTGGAAAGCATTTAGTACGTAGAATACAGAAAATACTACTTGATACTAATATAATGAAAAATTTTCAAATTTTACTTTAAATAAAATGGTGAAAATTATGTACATATATCAACAATACAAAATTGCATTTTAGCAACAATGTAGAATTGCCCACACATTTTCGAAATAATATACTATATAAACAACAAAACAAGAGCAATTCGACTGAAGCTATTTCTAGATACATATGCCTATGTATGTAGCTATGTATATCTAAAAACGTATTTAGAATTTAACTTGCGCCATCTGTAATTTCTTGTATATGTAATTTGTTTCGAAAACAAAACAAATAAATAAATATTTAAAAGTTTTGTTATCAAATTGTGTAAGTAAACAAACGCGTAAGAGTCTACAGTTTACTGTTTTAATGACCGTCCCTTGAATTTCACGAAAACTGAGTAGATAGTCTCTTGCAAGCAGCACAGCACTTGTTCATTAAGTTGCATGTAAAATGTGATGAACTTATACTCGTAACTATGTACTTGCATCACACGGCGAAAATAGTGCTACTAGAAGTAACCTTCAGAGCTAAAAGTGATAAAAATGAGTAAGAGTTAAAATTGTTAAAAAGCTTAAGTTCTAATTGTAACAAATGTTAGAGCAACAGCAACAATTCATTCAGCGGCTTTACTTGACTTTAAACGCAAGCTATGAATTTCTTGTATCGATTTGATGTGTTTGTTTAAAATGTATCGTTTTAATTAATAAATGTGAAATACCGATTTAATTTATTTGTTTTTCGGTCACATGCTTTTGTGTTTGTCTGCAGACAATAAAATTTTGTACAAATTTTAATTAATGTTAAATTTGAAAGGCATGGAGTTTATTAATAACTCAAAATTACTTAATTAAGATTTGAGTACCGCAATATTTTGCATGCTGTATAAACAAATCGAGACACTTATTCAGTAATATGCACATACATACATATATTAACATACAAGGAGAGATTGAAGGAGATTTTGCACGAATATTTTTTAATTCGAACATTTGCTATTCGAAGATTTGCTATTCTTCTCCAATTTCCAATTACTGATTAAACTAACTTCTGTGACTGAAGAATAAGTTTTTTAAATTTTACTCAATCGTATGGCATATTTTTGTCGTTCTTTATGATGTTTTATATCATTTCTTTAATATTGTTTGTCTGTCTTCTGTCTACATTACCAATAAAATTTTATTAAATTTTAAAAAAGTCGAGACAGTATTTTCGCGTTACCGATACATAAATAAGCATCAAACAAATAAACTTGGTAAAACTTTTATCGAAACATTGCAATTGATGAATTGCAACTAACTAAAATCCGTAATTACCGTAGTTTCCATCAAAATTACGCGTGACTCCAATAAAAGTCAATCATAGTCTTTATTTAAATGTGTGGAATTTTACACCAAAATCCGATATTTAAATACAATACTTGATAACTGAAACTTTGAAAAAATTTAACAGTGCATAAATAAAAGATCTATCATTCCAGCGAATGTAATTGTCAATGGATGAACTTTTTACAATCACCTATTGTTATAAAGTCCTGTTTACTTTACTTCTTCAGGATTATTAAGATCATTAAATTCTGGAATAATATATAATATAACATATATATATTATTATATATATATATTATTATATATATATATATTATATAATATAATATATTCGAATATATAAATTGTATAAGCTCAAACAATTTTTTGTTCTCTTTTAAAAGTTTATTGTGTCTTATTAATTTCGGAGGAAACAGAGTTGAACGTTCTGCAAATATTTCAGCGCATGCAACACTTTTTGCAATTTCTCACAACTACTACGTGTGACATGCATAAAATCAACTTAAGAAATAAATTAAAGTATCTTGTATATATCATTTCGTATTTCAATTATAACACGTTCTCATATTGTACAACTTTATTTTTTGGAATTTCGTTATTAATGTCAATTGCATAAGATATCTATTTCTGCTGAATTTATCATTTTCTTATGAACATAATAAATACCATATTACTTTATTCATTGCTATACAATTTTTATATTACAGGACTCACTTAAGGTTTTATAATATAGAGCAGTGGTTTCCAACCTTTTCTTGACCAATGACTACTATGACATTTTTAGTAGGGAGCATAAGGTTTAAGAATAATGAACTGTATGATTAATATGCTTTATTAGAAATTTCCACATGTTCGTTTAAGTAATATTCAAAAATATGAAAAACATCCTCAATGTGATCTTTGAGCTTGCATTTCCTTTACTAGCTGTGGAATCCTGGGGCTGATGTTAGTGCTCAAAGCTACACAAGTGTCAGTACTTGACGTTAATCGATTTCGAGACTTATTCTTAATTACAAGCAAAGCAAAAAATCCTTGCCGTGGAGAATAGTGTCAGATAATGCAAGGCAATGTTGCGAATTTTGATATATGAAACTGCCTTTTTGCACCAAAACACGGCAAGCAAGATAGATTCAAACATTTCTTTAATAATATTAGGAATTCTCCTGATGAAGGCAAAAGCGAATTTGCCGAAACACGTGTAGAGATACACAAACAAAAAAAAAAAAAAAACTTTCGAAATAAAAGTTAGTATATTTTAAAAAACAAAAAAATAACCGCATTTCTTTGCAGTTTCCATCATTTTGTAATTCAATTATCTTTTCTTTTCAACTTATCTTTTCAGATATACTCTTTCATTTATCTATATTATTGTGTATGCTAAGTCTTTTGGCATTAAGTGAAGAACTGTTGATGGTGTGACATTCTTTTTTAGTTAAAGAATGGTCAGTCGCAAGAAAATGTTTTAAAAAATTATATTTTCACTTCACTTAATATATATTTTATACTTAAACTGTGAGCTCTGCTTTGTAAAGAACTATCAAAAGAAAGAATAACTCTAGTAAAAATCCCAGATGTTTCAAGAATATATTTCCTGTCCACTATAATTCCATAAGAGAGTTTGGACATAAATAAAACTAATGTTTGTACAAAATAAAAGAAATATATGAAGTATTTAAAGATGACACAAAACATTTTATTAAAGTCTCATAAATATAAATTAAGTCCGTCCATATACATTAAAGTACATAACAGAAGACATAACAGAAGACAGAACTTTGCTTTAAACGAGTCAAATTTTTGAGTAATGTTTTCGCACTTTTGATAAGTTACATTTAATAAACTTAGACGAATTAAAATAATTAACTTTAAACGGAATTTGGTTTCGCTATTTTCTAAAACTAATCAAACCTTGTTAATTTAATATCGTCCCCAAAATATTTCACCAGTTAGATAATTGGTAAAGGTTGGAATTGTGACTTAATTCGGACAAATATCTTATATTTTTTTTATTTATTTTGTTCTTTAATTAATATCATTCATGAAACATATTATTTTTATAAGGTTTTCATATTTTTATAAGAATGTAAGCAATAGTATTTAGAGACAAAACATAGTTATATTTATTAATTATTTAGTAATCCAAATAAGTAGTCGTCACAGTGTTTTAAATTATAGCCAATTTAAATGTTCTTTGATTGAAGATATAACTTTGTTCTTCAATGATTTAATAGATTTAATAACACAAACAACATATATCGTAAATTAATTAGATCAGTTTTATGGAATTCAACCCAGTAGTTCCAGTATATAATTATATATATTAATATTCATTAATATATATCAATAATACATATTGTGTTACCTTGTGTTACTAAGTTTATCTTATAGTGTAGATAATTATCTAAGTAGAATCAGAATTAAGTAATTATTTAAAGCACACAGGAAAATTTCTTAAAAACTTTTTCTGAATAAAAAAAAATTTTTTTTTTCTATATAAACTTAACGTAATCAAGTAAACACTAATTTTTATTTTCAAATAAAAATTATATAATAGCTGATGTTACTTTCATTTTTCTTATATATATTTTTAATTGGTTTAATTAATGTAGCATTTGTATTTTACAATTTAACACAGGCAATCAAAAATGTATGTCAAACGAAGGTGAACGTATTATTAAATTAGAATGAGAAAGTGTTTCAAAAATAATTGATAACAATTAAGTTTTATGATAAAATATAATTTTTTTTATATAGATTTTAAAAGAAGACACTGATATATTTGAAAACATACTACTTACTTGAAAAGAAGATAACAAAATAGTACACACAAAATGGTGAACATAGCAGTAAGTATAATTAATTAATTTTTAACTATATAAATGAATAAAATGTTCCATTTATCACAACCTCTATATGTCCCTAGAACATTACTCTTTAATAAATCTTACATTATTTAATTTAAAATTTTAATTTAGGACAGTGGAGGAAAAAATATGCCACAAGAAATGGAACAGTTTCTTCCCGGCGATGGACTCAATTCTGTTACTAAGTAAGTTTTTTTATGAAATTTGTTCATTTGTTTGCAATAGATCAGCTATTTGTTTGGAACTTTAATTCAACAAAACTACTCAGCACAATCTGAGTAATTCAATCTTATATTATAAGAGTTTGAAAGTAGTGGAATTGACAGTAAAATTGAATTGCTTAATGTTTAGTTATAATTTGCTGTATTGATGGAGTCCATTTCTACCAGCAAAAAATGTTGATCAATTTTAACAAAAACACTTTTTCTAAAAAAATTCGAAACAATATTATGCATGATGATGTTAAGTTTATTCTTTAAAATCAGAAATTAACTTCTTTGGTCATCGGAAAATGCATAAATACTCCATAGATCAGTTTACCCTTTTTTTAAACATGTTCATAGGGTTACCCAGAAGTACGCACGATTTTTGAAAGTCTGATGTAGAACGTAGCAAAAAAAGGTTAGGAAGCACTGAACTACAGTAATTGCTACTGTAAATATTAGAATTTTGCTAATAAAGTTTATTTGAAGTAGTAATTTTTAATGTTAATTCGATTCTTACAGTCAACACTCAACTAGTAGTGTATTTATATACACATATACATTAAGACCGAAAAGTTTTCGGAAATTCTCATTTAAAATTCGCGCGCTGTATATTTTTCGATATTTTAAGTTTATGTAGTTTGGCAGCACTGTCCTTAATTACTATGCCAAAAATGAGCGCGATCTGTCAGACAGTTCGTTTACGGCAGCTGTTGAAACCAGTTCACCTCAGTAGTGCGTTGCGAAAAAAACAATGGAAAAAAATATTGAACAAAGAGTTTGCATCAAATTTTGTGTTTCGAACGAAATTTCGTGTGCAGAATCGTTGCGAATGCTACAAAAGGCTTATGGGGAATCAGTTTTATCGAAAACTCAAGTTTATGAGTGGTACAAAGCCTTTCAGGACGGTCGTACGACCGTCGAAGACATTTCGCAACGCACTACTGAGGTGAACTGGTTTCAACAGCTGCCGTAAACGAACTGTCTGACAGATCGCGCTCATTTTTGGCATAGTAAATAAGGACAGTGCTGCCAAACTACATAAACTTAAAATATCGAAAAATATACAGCGCGCGAATTTTAAATGAGAATTTCCGAAAACTTTTCAGTCTTAATGTATATATTGATATTTATGTTTATTATGTTTCTGATAAAAACTGTTTAAAATTCAATTTTTAATAGCGGCACAATCACAAAGAAAATTGAAAAATTAAGAAAGTCGATCACTACTACAAATATTTCCATTAATTAGTATTTATTTGCTACGCAAATTTTTTAATTATAAGTCTTTTTTAATAAAAAATATATTAAATAAGGTATTTAATATCATCAGTAACATTTGTGTAAACATTGATAAATATTTTCGGCAATGCTGCGACTTTATTAAATATGCGCTTCGCTGCACTGAAAACAGAAATATTTTTCCAAAATTTTTTTGAATTTAACTTTCTCAAAAAAATATATTTATGATAAATTGGATAAACTCTATGTATTCAAGAGTTTCATTATTCCTATTTTCTTATGAATAGCTGCTTATATATTATTCTTAATAACCGTTCAACTACTAATTTTACATCATCAGTAGTGTATGTTACACTTTGCCTAAATTTTCAATGTGTACTGAGATGTACAATACTCATTGGTGATTATATATCAACAAATTAGTTTTGAATTATTGTTGTTTTAATTTGAAATTTGTGAAAAAATCATGTCACGTGCTTTATTAACATATTTAAATGTATATGTTATGGCATAATCCCTCATTGCTTAATTTAATTATAGATATTTCATCATATTTAGTTGTACGTTGTTGCCTGTTTGTATTTTTTGTACAATAATTCGTCAACATTTTGTTGTAAATACCATCATTCACACATGACGATTTTTAATTTAAATTTATACATTTTCTTCAGCAAAATTCAATTTTGTCAAAGTTTTCAGATTAAATCCAATGTACGTCTTCGAACAAAATGACAACTAAATCACATCTCTCTTGTTTGAGGTCCTCAAAATGGATACAATTAATGAACTATGTAACTGTAAAGTTGAGAAACTAATTAGATCAAATGTTCTAGGACAACAGTCGAAACTTTTGAGAGTATTCAATATATCATTTATCTATCTGCAAGCTATACACTGAAATGTCATAGCTCTCTTAAATATTAAAAATTGTCGTAAACATTTTATTGGCACACAGAGGGAATAAATAAACTGAAGACTGATCAATGTTACCCAGTCCCAGTTAGTCAATCCCCTAAAAAACTAATAAAAGCTAATATATTAATAACATATATCACAGTTATGAGAATAATAAAAATATGGTACTGAATATGCTCTGTTTATTGCCAGTTTTTCAATTATCTCAGGTTTATTAAAATATGATTACAATTTCTTAAAAGCATCTGTGACCTATAACAATTTTTTTAGAGGCAATAATATCGAAAAACATATTTGTCATACGAATAGAGAGAATTAAGAAACAAACGTATTAAATTTTTTTCAAAAAATTCATAAAAAACCATAACAGCACTGCTAAAAACTATATATACCATATATACACGTTTGAAATATTTGTTCGATTTAACGAAATTGCTGTGAAAGAATCATTCACTAAATTAGTCGTCTACAGACTAATTTCTCATTTGTCATTTGTTTGGTAAAAGAATCATCAAGTGTTAAAATTTATTAAAAAAGTTTGCCTAATTTTTTGTACACCTACATCGATTTTTCTATTAAACTATTTTATATTTGAAAGTGTTGCAGACTCAAAACGAATTTACTGATGCAAGTAATTACAATGAAAAGAGTGATTTGTAAAATAGCAGTCTATGAAGATAGTTATCACTACTCAGAGATAAAATTTTCACTTACAATTCTATGCAATTTGATTATACAATATAGGTATTTACAATTCATTGCCATTATAATTATTGTTGGAAAAATTCTGGTTTCATTGCAAATTTTTAACATGTAATTTTTTATTATTGAACAAAGTTCAAATCCACTTTAGACGTAAAAACGTAATCACTCAATAACAAAAAATATATATTGTTTTAAATATAAGACAGCAAAATCAATAATAATACTAATATTATATTTGCTATAGAATATGCGGTCTACGTACAAATTATTTTGCATTGTGTTTATATTTTGGTATATTTAATAAAAAAATAAATCAATAACTGAAATTGTTTTCACATAGTTGAGAATTCGTATGATTACGGAAAGGAAATTATGAAATATTTGACCGAATTTTTTACCAAAATTAATTTCATCTTAATTAAAAATGTTTTTAAATTAGAATATAATTTATTATATTTCGCGTCAAAAATATTTCAACCCTGTTAGACCGCAGACTTTAGAGAAGTTTTTTTAGAGATGTTTACTTAAATTGGATATATGAGTACTCTGAAGAACGCTGGAGGTAAACTTCATGTATTTTCTATTATCTCTACTCTTGACATAATTCTAATCGATAATATAAATGAACTTATGACGTTCGGAATTCTTTTGAATAAACTAAAATCTTATGATCATGAGCCGTCATATTGTTTCAAAAAATACTATTCTTTAAAATCGTATTTGTTAGGGTACTCAAAGGATGTACGAGTATTTTTAGCAATTTAGCAATAGAGATATCTTCGAAGTGATATCTGTTCAAAAAATACCCGGATTTTGTTAACTACTCCTTAAGTAATAGACATTTTTCAAATTTTTTTTTGTTATGTTGGTACACCTGTTTTTGACATATGGTACAAATTTGAGCGCCATCTGTCAATTAGTTTGTTTACAGCAGCTGTTAATATGAGACCACATCAAGTGCATTTAGCGACTTTTACTATGGAAAATTCAGTTGAACAACGAGTTTGTTTGAAATTTTTTGTTTTGAACGAAATTTCATGTGTTCAATCATTGAAAATGGTGCAGAAAGTTTACGGGGACTCTTCTATGTCTCCAATACAGGCATAAGAATGGTATAAACCATTCAAAGAGGATCGTGAAGTGATCGAAGATTTGCCTCGTTCTGGACGTCCATCAACATCAAATACCGAAGAAAACGTGGCAAAAATCAAGAAAATTGTACTGGAAGATCTTCGTATGACTGAAAGGGAGATTGCTCATGACTTAAACATCTCAAATGGATCCGTTCACCACATTCTACATGATATGTTGGTCATGAGACGGGTTGCAGCTCGACTTGTACCGAAACACCTTGATTTTTTGCAAAAAGAATACCGAAAGAACGTATGTGAAGAAATGATTTTTGAGCATGGAAACGACTCGACATTTATGAAATGCATCATAACACGTGATGAGACATGGGTTTATGAGTATGACGTCGAAACCAGTCAACAATCGAGCGAATGGCGCTTCGAAAACGAGCCAAAACCCAAAAAACCGCCAAAAGTCGCTCGAAAATTAAAGTTATGCTCACTGTTTTTTTCGACTACCGCGGTGTTATTCATTAGAAATTTTTGCCAGAGGGTCATACCATCAATAAAGAATATTACCTCGGCGTTATGCGGCATTTGCGTGAGTCCATTCGTAAGAAAAGACCAGATTCGTGGAAAGCCAACAATTGGATTCTTCACCACGACAATGCTTCATCGCACACGGCTCTTGTTGTACGCGATTTTGTGACCAAACACGGCACCACTGTCTTCGCTTAGGCACCATATTCGCCAGATCTGGCACCGTACGACTTTTTCCTGTTCCCGAAACTGAAATTGCCCCTTCGTGGTAAGCATTTTGAGTCGATTGAATCGGTAAAAGAGAATTCACCGAAGGAGCTAAAAGCCATACCTGCACGGGCCTACGAAAAGTGTATGGAAGATTGGGTTAAGCGTTGGCATATGTGTGTCGCTTCAGAAGAAGCATATTTTAAAGGAGATAAAAAAAATGTGGAATAAAATTTAAATTTGTGTTTAATTTACAAACTCCGGGTACTTTTTGAGCAGAAGGTAGATCATTTCTTTTTTCTATTAAACAATAAAATTGAAGCTTTTCAAATAAGCGTTTTGAATTGCATATTAAAAAATTAAAAAAGCATAAATTCGGCTTTACACTAATATAAAAAGATTTTTAAATATTTTACCATATCACAGATCCCTTCTTTTTTAGATTTCAATATTTAAACCGCCTAACATAACCAAATTAAAGAATAAAAGCAGTGTTTTATTGTTTTAGTAAAAAACCGGCCAGAAATTTGTTCTCTTTTAAGCTTAGAGTGTAAATTAAAATTTTGTTTTTCTGCAGAAGACCAGACAAGATATATATAACATTCACAATTTGCTGATGCAATGTAAATGGAAAATCAAGTCACATAAACTAAATTTGGTAAGCAAAAAACACATTTCACCATTTTGCCGAAGAGAATTAAATGGTTATAAGCATTTTTCTTTTGTTGATGTTATGCTGTATGGACATAGCATGCACCCGTATAATCAGTGCGATTTTTAGCTTATTTGGAATCAAATTTGAGCGTGTTTGGCTTAATTTCTGCATAATTACAAAAATGAAATTCACTTCAGTTACTTTTACAAATGTTTAGTTCCATTTAAGACGTCGACTGAAGAAGTCACTATTTTCCAACATTCAACATTGAGGTTAGCTACTATTGAGAAAATAAATAGTCATCATGTCAGAAACAAGTATGACATTAAATCATTCAAATTCAGTAAATAAATTAAGGTGCTAATATTAAAATCATTAGAAAAACATATTTAATTCATTTAAATTTCGGTATCAGAGAAAATCTTTTACATAAAAAATATCGTTTATCTGCTCCTCCACCTGCAGGTACAAAATACAACCTCGTAAGGATGCAGAACAAGCACTGGCGGCGCCGGACTTTGATCCATTTACAGAACGCAAAATTGATCATCCTACTACGTAAATTAATTTTTTTTTATAATTTTTAAAAATTTATTGATATTTTTATTTAATGCTAACAGGGATAGTGAAACTCTCACGCACTTATTGAAGGCTTCTCTTGGAACTGGTATACTTTCTATGCCTATTGCGTTTATGTACTCTGGTATTATTATGGGTATTTTCGCTACAATTTTAACCGCTTTCATATGTACACACTGCAGTTATATACTAGTAAGTGTAATTATAACTTTGATAGAAGTCAACTGGTTGGGTTGAGTCTACAAGAAAAATTTCGATTGTATTTTAACTTATGAAGACGAGACAACAACCTAACTATTTTAACATTTTAATAATAATTTTTAATATCCTTTTTGGTACACCCGCTCTTAGGTGAAATGTGCTCATAAGCTTTATTACAAAACGCGTCGTACAAAAATGAGCTTTGCAGAAGTCGCTGAAGTAGCCTTCCTGAATGGTCCAAAATGGTGCCGTGTTTTTGCACCTGTGGCAAAATTCTCAATACTCTTTGGTTTGTTCCTTACTTATTTTGGTACCTGTTCAGTTTATACCGTTATTGTAGCAAAGAACTTTGAACAAGTTAGTTTATTAAATTCTTATATTAGATTTAGTATATTCATGATAATTTTTTGTTAATTATAGGTTATGGAGCATTGGCTTGGTTATCAAATATCATTGCGTCTATTAATTTCCGCTTTACTAATTCCACTTATTCTACTATCTTGGGTACCTAATCTTAAATACTTAGCACCCGTTTCAATGATAGCAAATGTTTTCATGGGTCTCGGATTAGGCATTACATTTTATTATCTTGTTATGGACCTACCATCTATTGAAACACGAGAATATGCGCATGTTTCGACATTACCATCATTTTTCGCTATTACAATATTCGCAATGGAGGCTATTGGAGTAGTTATGCCACTCGAAAACAATATGGAAACACCGCGCAATTTCTTAGGCATATGCGGTGTACTTAGTCAAGGCATGTCTGGTGTTACACTTATTTATATGTTTCTAGGGTTTTTGGGTTATTTGCATTATGGTGACAATACAGCGGAAAGTATAACACTGAACTTACCAGTTCATGAATGGTATGATTTACAAATTAATTTTTTCTTTTGCAGTTTTTATCATTTTTTAATGTTATGTTTTAGGCCAGCACAAGCAGTCAAAATACTCATCGCTTTGGCCGTATATTGTACATTCGGCTTACAATTTTACGTTTGTCTTGAAATTGTTTGGGATGGAATCAAGAATAAATGCACCAAACGTCCAGTGCTCGTGAATTATGTTATGAGGTATGTATAATTTTATTAATATATATATATATATATATATATATTTAATATATATATTTAATAATAAAAAGTCGCATTGCCAAAAACTATAACAAATAAAAGATCTTATGTATGAAAATATTTCTAGTTTACATAACATCTACAAATTTAATATTTTCGTGAATATTTTCTTTTACTTAATCTTTGATTAGATTTATACTGAAATTATATAAAATATTTTAAGATTTGAAGTTTATTAAAAATTAATAATCGTTAACTTTTTATTTGTTGCAGAACCGTTCTCGTTACCGCTGCCGTCGTTCTGGCAGTTTCAGTGCCTACGATAGCTCCATTTATGGGACTTATTGGTGCCTTCTGTTTTTCTATACTAGGCCTTATCTTTCCAGTAAAATTATTCACATACTTTCAATTCTTTATTCGTAATCTATTCCCTACATTCTAGGTTTTTATTGAACTTATTACTCACTGGGATACTGGTTTTGGTGCATTTAATTGGATACTCTGGAAAAATGTTATTATTGGTGTATGTGGAGTTGCTGCATTGGTTTTTGGCTCAATGAGCGCACTTAAAGACATTGTGAAGCTCTACACTACCGAGCCAGAAAGCAGTACATAGGAATGAACATAGTTCAGAGCTCACAGTGCAGATGTTTAATAATTTGGAAAACATTTACCTATAAGACAAACTAATGAAGACAATTTATTGAACTGCAGTTCTCAAATTATGTATATAAAATTTGATATATGGATTTTTTTATATTGAATAATAGCAGCGCAATAGTAAAAGACAAATCAAATTGAAGTTTTTTCAGTAAAAGACACATACTTTTCATACACAATATACACTTATAATGCAATTCATGAAACATATTTGTTGAATATGCCTCTATCGATTTTATACGTAATCTTTGCACCAATAATTTAATATAGTTATTAAGTAGCACACTGCAAATAATGCTATGTTTACTCTTATAAAAACTTATAAGAATTTTAATATACCTATATGAATTGAGCCAAATACTGAAATACATTATATTTATTGAGAATATTTATTTTGAATATTATATAATTATCACATGTTCATTTAGATTTTATTAATTTATTTAATTAAAAAAGTGAAACTGCATATAAAATCTTCGTAATGAATGCTTTCTCTGCAAAATAATACAAAAATTATTACTCATTTATTGTAGGAGTATGTTGTATATGTATTTAATTAATTGCTTAAACTGTTTAGAAGTCATAAATAATGTAAAATATTGATCCTTTTATTATTACTACATATTTAATTTCATGCTGGAATATGTAATATATAAAATATACTTAAATAATATTTTTTTTTTAAATTAAATGGTGGTGCATTTGATAACTGACAATTGAAGTATAAAAGAAAGATTTATTGAACATGTTATAATAAAATATTGTAAAAAATAATTATCTCGCAACGACTTGTCTTCTTTTATACAAGAAAATGTCATTTTTATTGTATAGAATGAATAAAGAAAGTAAAGAAAACTATATTTGTATAAAGTTTATCCACTTATTGCAAATAAATTTAATTTTTTTTATAAAAAAGATTATTATTTGACTAAACATCGTAGCATGTTTAGTTTTTTTTACTTTAGATTCTCCCTGAATGGTTTAAATAAACTATACAAATTTTTAATAATAATAATAATTTTCCAATTTTCTGTAATATTAAAAGTTCCTTTTCAGTTAATTTTTCAAAATGTATTACCTCGTATTCTCATGTTTTACATTGGTTATTATAGAGTTTTATTGTTAAAAATTAGGTTAAATTATTGAAATCATTTAAACGTCACGGTTTTTCATTATTTAATATTAAGAAATAATAAATTTTATACGTTTGTTTGAAAATCTTCTCATCCTTAATATTTTTTTAGGTTATTGTTTGTATGAGTAGCCACTTCGTTCTTTTCATATCCATCCATATCCATATCAGTAATCATAAACTGCAAAGTAAATAAACCACAAACTGTCTAATATGATAAAATGATTTATTAACAGTGACACAAATAAATAATTAGTATGATTGCTTTTATTCACACTTAAGCATATAAATCGTTATTTACATCACTTTTTATCACTATTACAATCTTGTTATTATTGAACGACCTATTTGTACAAGCTTATATGAATGCTTTAAATAAGCATTTAGAAATTTTTAATATATCTTAAACAACCAGTGAACTTTAAGATATCTATATAACTATTAACGCTTATGTCCTAAAATATAAATTAAAGGTGTATTTAATGTATTAGTAGACTAATGCGATTAAAACTTAATTTTTTTCTTTAAATTTTTTTTCTACTTATTGATAAACTTGTAAACAATCAATATATTCAGTGCAAATTATATGCGTTTTTTGGAGTGACATTTGTTTAAAAATTCCTATATATTAATTAGGTTTTCAAAACTCTTATCTTATTAGAAAACTTTTTAATATTTATTATTTCACGTCATTTGTATCAATTTCAATTCCGTTACTAATTCAGATTATTTATTTATTCTCTGTTGAGTCCTTCGCAACACCCCATGACTAATTCACCTATAAAAATAAAAAAAGCTACAAATTGAAGTATGAAAAATGAGAAAAACAGTTTTCTAAAAGTTTTTAAAGTGAGAGCAATAGGAGTATTTGCATGATTCACGTAAAATTTCTTTACTTCTATGTTAGGATATTTCAGGACACCCGATGCATCACTCATCCATTTAGAAATCAAACCGAAATCATTGAGAAAATGTATCACTCGATTGAAAGGTCGCACCAAAAAGGAATTCTTTTTAAAAAAAGTGCAAATTTGCTGTACGCTTAGCGGCTCTTGAACCAATTGATAATTATCATATAGACGTTTAGTTTGCATGTAGTAAAGAAATCTGTGAAGTGCAGTGAACGTACCTACAAATTTTTCCTTACTTTGTGAAAGTATTTTATAAATTTCTTCAGGATCCTGAACATCAACTGTAACAAAACGCTCGGGATTTATATTTAAAGAAATCAATATTTTGTAATGCTCTAGCGATCCTCGCGTTATAATTAAATAATTATACTTAGTGATATCCTCCAATACAATTGGTTTCTGTGGTTGTAGTCTTGTATATGCTGCATATAGTTTACCTTGATAAGCTATATTAAAAATGATAAGTCCAAAGCACCAAAAAATAATGGAAAAACAGAAACGATTCTTGGAATTTGCTACAATTTGAGGGATATTAAGTGATATTGCGAATAATCTCAACCAACTTGAGCTCTTACAGTTGCGGTCTACATTTATTTTTTCTTGTTTTAATTTGAAAATAATTGTTAAATTTATAAGAAATTTTACAATGACAAAGTAAACTGCTAGGCACATCCATGTCGACCATTCGAATGGGTTGAGGATCCAAGCGCCATCATTGCGATCGTATTTAAAGCGATGCTTAGCTACGAATACATATGGAGTACGTAAATAAGAAAAGCTTTCAGAAAAGTATTTAATTGCCACTGCCGAAGAAAAAAAAATACCTATAAGTAAATCAACATCCCCATCTCTTAAAAGGCTGTATGGAAAAGTCATTGTGCCATTTGTGTAAATTGTGCCCCAGTTGATTTCTGGTTCATTATATACAGACATACTAAAATTTAATATTTTTGAAATGGTCTTTATCATTTCTCCTTCAATTCCTGTTAGCACAAAATCTAAATTGTTTTTCTTTACTAACGTGTATGACATGTAAGGTTGCACGTTACGCACATAAATTCGCAGTTCACAGTGGCGGAAATTAGTGTACCTTTCCATTAGCAACTCCTTCTTCTTGAAGCGACCGTTGTAAAATGTGTTTGTGATTACTACCTGAAATTGTCTGCATTTGTTTTCACCAAATATTTCATATGTGTAAATGTCAACAGTATTTTCTGATTTATCAGAAGCAATAATTAAATTGTGTATATTGAACTCAAATGCCTTTCTCAACATTTTTTCGATTTCTATTTGATTGTCCAATTTCATAAAATTTTTGTATATTATTATGAAGGCACCGATACCTAATGTATTTGGATCCAAGTTGTTTATAATTTTACTGAAAATATATTATAAGAAAGACAAGTTTTATAATAGTTATTTTAAGAACTTAATTTTTCAAGCAATCGATGATTAAAAATGTACAATTAGGTAGCAAAATGATGGAATTTCATATTTTATCATTATAAAGTTATTAAAATTAATAAAAAAAATTTCAAAACCAAAAAAACATATACTTCAAATAAACTGGTTAATATTGAAAAATTTACCGATACGCGTACATTATAAATGATATTTAGAAACATACAAATACATGTATGTTTAGAAACTACAAAATATCGAATGTCTTACCTGAACGCCCTATAGGAATCAACATACCAAAGGTGATCACAGTTATTGAACTTTTCAATTTGAGAAAAATTATTGAACTTTTCAGAATCTTCGTGCTGTATTTTAATTATATATGCGATATTTTTAGATTTCTCCAAAATAAACTGCAAACTGTCAAAAAGTTTGTTTTCATGGAAATTTATATAATCAAATTGAACACGAACATCGAGAGTATCTCTGTTACTAGTCATTTCAAAATAATCCATAATAGCTATATCGACTGAATTAGTAAAATTTATGAGGTTATTAAACGGCTCCCGCATAGTGGCTGGAATGGATTCTTTATTCGTGAGTAATATGAGAAATATTATTTGTATAAAATATTTTTCCATATAAAACTTCATTATAACATTCGACACCAAAATTTTCAGCTACTGTGAAAATGTGGTTTTATAAACAATTCTTGTGCTATTTATATTTTTAAATGAAATCAATTGTAAAAGCAATTACTTAAATTTTTTTAAAAACACTAGATTATTACGAAGGTTATGTTTAAAACAGAAACTAAAAACATTAATAATTTGTCAACACTGTTATTAAGTCGAAACATTTTATTAAAAAATAAGTACTGCTTTAAAATTAAATGATCTTTGAACCCTTTTATTGAACGAAACATTATCGTGCTGTACTTCCATTAATGTATCTATTAGTATAGACTTTTATTGACAACGACTTAGAGCTTTACTTTTTCTATATGAAGATACAATATATTTTCTTACTCACAATTGCAATAAATAATATTATCATCTAATGATGATATCTTAATTATCAATGTTAAATACTGAATTACTAACGTTAAATACTGTAAACTAGTAACTTGTTAAGCTAGTTAAAACCATATAACTAAAATTTACAATTTTAGCTTCGCGAATGTAACGAAAAAAGTTGTTTTTATAATAATAAAAACAATAATAATAGTCTATAAAGTGAGTCTTAAATATTACAGATTGTTAATCCACCGAGCTAACCTTTCAGCTTTTGAAACAAATTTGCGCAATCATTTCAAGTTAAATATAATGACTAGCGGAGATTAAGAATTGAAATTGCAATTCATGAATTTTGGTTCTGTCTACTGTAGATATTTTGTTGCTTGCTGTCGCCAGTTGGTAGTACCAAACGCCCCCAAATCGTTGGTCACCTGGTACTTCCACCAAAGATGCGGACGTCCTCTACCTTGTTTTCTACCTGTGGGTACGGAATTAAATATCTTTCTAGCCGGAGCACTTTTTTCACTTGGCACGACATGACCAAGCCAGCGAAGCTTCTGAATTTTTATACGCTTAACTATGTCAATGTCGCGGTAAAGCTTATACAGCTCATCGTTCCATCTAATTCGATACTTGTCGCCAACGCGTAAGGTACTATAGATCTTCCGAAAAATTTTTCTCTCGAATGCTCCTAACGCCTTCTCATCACTGTTGGTAATTGTTCAAACTTCTGCACCATACCGCAGGGCAGAAGATCTTCGTTAAAAATCTAGGCCGACGTCATTTTTGGTGTTTACACTGGTTCTTAAATAAACAAAGTTATTCACAACTTAGAACTTCTAATTACTAACAGTGACATAGGTCCCAAGACGCTTAGTAGATTTGTTTATTGATGGAAAATACTTTGTTTTGTCCTCATTTCCCACAAGACTCATTTGCTTTGCTTTTTTCTAAAGTGGAAACGGCCAAGCACTAATGGCCAATAATATCAATATCATCTACATACGCAAGCACCAGCATTACACTTTTGTAGAATATTGTGCCAGTGCGGTTTAAATCTGCTGTTCAAATGATCGTTTTCTACATTAGATTAAAGTAGTTACACGACAAGGAGTCACCCTGTTTGAAACCTCATTTGATATCACGAAGCTGGTGATGTTGCTCAACGTCGTTTAACATAGCCGTGCTTCTAGTCGTAGTGTCAAAAGTAGCTTTGAAATCGACAAAAAGGTGTAGTATGTCGATTTGTTTTTCTTGGGTCTTCTTCAGGATTTGACGCACTATGAATATCTAGTCTATGGTGGATTTGCCTGGTTTGAAGACACACTACTAAGGTTGATGATTAGCTTCAATCCTTCACATAATATGTTTGACAGAGCCCTATATACAATATTTAAAAGATTAATCCCGCGATAGTTGGCGCACTTTACAGGCTCACTTATTTTGTAGATCAGGAAAAGCAAACTTAAATTCCAATTGTTGGAAATGCATTTATCCGACCTTATGTTGCGAATTAGCTGCATCATGCATTTTGATAGCTCTTTGCCACCAGCTTTAAACAGCTCAGCCGGTAAACCATAGACGCCTGCAGCTTTGTTGTTTTTAAGCATTGTAGTTGTTTTAACTTCATTATGAACAGGAGGCGAAACAATTATTTTATCGTCAACAATTGCAAATTGAGGATAATCTTCACTTTTAGTTACATTACTACTACTGCCATTTAGTAGGTTCGAAAAGTGAACCATAGGCGCCTGCAGCTTTGTTGTTTTTAAGCATTGTATTTGTTTTAACTTCATTATGAACGGGAGGCGAAACAATTATTTTATCGTCAACAATTGCAAATTCAGGATAATCTTCACTTTCAGTCACATTACTACTACTGCCATTTAGTAGGTTCGAAAAGTGATCCTTCCAAATACAAAGAATGCTTTGAACATACATACCATTTTCATCTTTGCAGGATGTCACAGTAAACACAAAAATATATTTCATAATTTTTTTTGCTAAATAAGTATATATGTACATAAAAATGTGTGCATGAAAGAAACAACTATTGAAGATAATACATGTTATCATTTTACAATTAAAGTTGTAATGTCTATTATAAAGTATTAATGCTATACTTATAAAAAAGCAGAGAATACTTATACCACCTAAAAAACGTAAAAACAGAAATATTGTTGAAATGAAATTTTATAAACATTATATAGTGTTTTATAAATTTCGCGAACAGATTTATTTTTTTCAAAGTAAATTTTTACAATTTGGAAGCATTGTTCTACCGTTAAACGATTCATGATGAATTGCCAAACCTTTCTGAACAGAAATGCCAACAGAGTTTGACAGTTTGAAATATTGAATATTTTTATAAAATCTGAATAATTACTAATAAAATTTTATTTAATTAATATTTAAAAAAAAAAATAGAAATTTATTAAAAATTATAAAATGCTGCATTAAAACTTATTAAATAATAAAGAATGATTAAAAGACAGTTAACCAGTGACAAATTCATTTATATAAATATCACCGAATTTCACGGCTAGTGAAAATCGCTGTGAATTGTATTCTTTAACTGTGAAATGCTTCTTTTTATACAACATAATCATACCAATATTTTGTAAAGTAACTATATCCAAATCCATCTTTACAAATATTGTATGCCATTTATTGTCCATATTTATCAAGTTTCAAATTTTATCTAAATACCTTTAAAAATAATAAATAATAATTAGTTCTTATAGCAGTTATTGGATTTGATTATACCATTTCAAATATTCCTGAAAACTTATAAACTTTAAGAAACGGTTTTGCATTTAAAAAATTAAGTACACTAACTAAATATTGATTTCAATATGTAAAACACAATATGTAAACACAGAGACAAACAGACGTCAGTAGTCATCGCTAGATCGATTTTTCTAAGCGAGCTGATAAAGATATGCATATTCTGTATGGTCTCAGATCTTTCCTTTTCTGAATTATGAAAACTATAATAATATTATGACGAAAATATGTATATTTATATTACGCGTAATATTTTCATCAATCTTTCTTATCACTTTAAATTAGCGTGTTTACTTTGTGGAAAAATAAATAAATTTACTGTAATGAGTTTATTATGCTTAAAAAATCATAATTATATCAATAAAAATAATATTAGTGCGAATACATATATAAAAATAAAAAATTGTAAACATGCATATTATGTTTAAAATTATGCGACTTCAAAAAATTATCTACATTTGAAGTAACTTTTCAACTGTAGACAATTTTACCACAGCACGGATTTAAGTAAATACGGATTAAAGTTACAAGCTCTAAGCACTTGATGTAGTATGCATATTGCACTTTACAATATTATTTAATTCCGATAACAGCAATTTGAAGATAAATCGTATTCAAAAAAAAACAGTTTGCAAATACATATAGGTTTAATATGATTTAACAATAAGATTAAGGTAAAAGTTTACGGTCAATATGATTATGCAAAGCGTATTTAACGAGCTCAATATTTGTGCCACCGAGTGTGGATTGGGACTGAACCTAAATAAAACAGAACAAATGAACAATAAGAACAATAAGGGCCACCGAGTGTGGATTGGGACTGAACTTAAATAAAACAGAACAAATGCTTTTTATTAAAATATAAAAAAATTTGATCAAAAAACACTCACTCTATTATTCCAAGCTTAAGTAAAGATTAAATACAAAACAACAGAAAAGGTTTGTATTTACTTATATGACTGCAAACAACGAATTACTTGGAAATAGAGCATCCTGTGAAGAACATTAGGAGTACAAAGAGTACATTAACTCTATGATTGTTCGAAGCGGTTGTTGGCTCAATTCCATCACAAGACTCAGTAGTTTGGTGGTAAGCTTGAGATAAAAACTGCATAATCAATAAACTAGACCCTGATAGAGACTGTCGAAGTCGTGATTATTCAAGTTTAAAATTGTTGTTTTTTTGCCTGAAATATTGGATTGTTCACTTCTGAAAAATATCATTGACTGAAAAATCAATGCTGAAAAAAGCATAAATCGAAATACTCGAGGATTTTCCCAGTTCAGCCCTTGATCTATGAAAGGCCTTTGCCGTTTCTCCCGGAGAGTGAAGAAGAGCTTCCTCCTCAGCCGTGCTGACGTTTGCAACGCCCTCGTTTTATGAGTTTACAGGGACTACAGCATCACTGCGTCACATTATTTGGACTGACTGACTTTTGGACTGACCTTCATCATTATTCGGCTCCAACTTTGGTTTCGTGTGGTAACACCGACCATTTGCATTTTATTTTGACGTGACCATGAAACTTTACGCAAGGCTACTTAACAACAATGTACTTATTTTATAAATGATTCTTTTTTAAAATATATCTTAACTATATTATGTATTATGTCAAAATTTTCGAAGTTCTACTTTCAATGTCAGAAGTGGCATAAGAAACCATTATACACAATGCAAGTAGGTTGTCACAATAAAATTCAATAAAATATTTGAACACTAATTTTTACCACGAAAATAATAAATCGAAATTAGTGCTCGAACAACCAAATATAATAAGTTCTCATAATATTTTCGTTCTGTTGTGTTGAACTAACATAAGTTGTAACGACACTTTTCTGAATGTTGTTCAAAATTTTGCTGGGGTATCCTCAGCCGTCGTTCAAGGTAGTGACAATAAATTTATATTCGCGGGGACAGAGTTTTCTTAATTAATATAATAAAATTATTTATATAATCGAAGTTAACTTTTGTTTAAATAACTCCAAGTGACGTGTGTGAAGTGATGGTGCAAAGGTATTTATAATTTTTTTTCCTATTTTACCAAATGATAATTATATTTAATAAATATATTTATAGGAACATACAACTATTGAAGTATGCTGTAAACGATCGTGCTGCGGAGTGATTCCAGGTAAGTATTTGTTTATTATCTTGTTAATTTTGATGCACTTAATTTCTTGCAGGTTATTCACCAACAACAATAAAGCCATTATATGTAGGTTGGAAATTTTGTACAAATTTTCGAAGTTAATTTTCTAAAGTTAAATTTACAAAGTTAATGTTTGAAGTACAATTTATAAGCAATTTGATATTATTTCTATACTTATTTTATTATTGGTATTTAAATTATTCAAAAGAATATAATTTAAATAATAGTTCTTGATATATAATTTTGTGTCAGCGATGTGAACACACTTAATTAAATATACATTTTAAACCTAATACAATGTGAATGGAATTAAAAAGGTAGACAATAATGTAAACCTAATTCGTTTGAATGTTTTAATCTATCATACATACAGGCCAGCTGCAAAACATGTTTAATGAAAGCAATTATAATATCTTAAATAGCTTAAAAATAAATTAGAATCATGAACAGGTTATAGAAAATTACAGTGTGAATATTTTATGAAAATAAAAAGAAATTGTAAAACCAAAATCAATTTGATAGAAAAATGAATACAATAACAAATAGCTCCAAACTCCAGCATCTTGGTAAATTCAGAATTAATAGTCTCTATGTGTTTAAATTTGAACATGTATCTGAGCACCAGTTACCTAAATAACATATTCAGTTATTTGGGTATTAAATATTTTTGTATTTTATTTAATATTTTAATAAATTAAATTATTTTTTAACAAGGATTTTTCAAGGCCTCAAAAAATTTCGTTACCAAGGTTCTTTTAGACATAAAAATATAAAATATAATAACAGGGATTTATTTTTAAAACAAAAGGATCAGTTAAAAATGTAAAATATAAACTAAAGGAAAAGGAACACGAGAAGACGTGTTGTGTTTTTTTTTTCAAGAGTTAATATTTGCTCAGTATTCCTCCATGTATAATACAAAATTAAAAAAAGTATAATATCGTTTTAAATATTGTTAACTGTATAAATAAAGTCATAGTATTTTCACACTATGAAATATAACACCGGTCAAACTTATTAATACAAATAATCAAAATACACAGTAGAGATAAAGCAAGTTCAATGATAAAAAAAATGACAAATAACATTTAATTAAATTAAAATAAAATATAATCAAAAAATGGTAAGATTCATGCAAAACAAAAATATAATAAGGCGACAGTTTAAAAACAATTTTGAAATTTTATTTTTCTAAATTTAAAAATGTGATTCTTAAATCTTTCGTAGTATGCAAAAGACTTTCTTTCTAACATCAAAATCCTACAAAGACCTTGTGATCAAAAAATAACTTTAACTTTATAGTATATGTAACTCCCTTGTGAATCCTATCTTGTGATCTACCTTATTAGCATACGTCACAATGTATTATGATGAAATAAATTGTAATTTGGCAATGCATTATCAACTAACTTCTACCGAATAAAGAGATTATTATTATCATCAATTAAGTTTCAATTTCGAAGTCGACCTAGAATGTATTCTATGTTTACACCTTACAATTTCCGAACCTAATCAGAACAATTTTCTAGAAAAAATTGCAATTATTGCTAATTGTGTTAAAGTAAAGGCATTGTTAGCAGTGGCGTCGCTAGGTGTCAGCGATGTCGGCGACCGCCGACGGCCTCGCACCCACAGGGGCCTCGCAAAAAGATACCGACTGTGGATTCTAAACACTTAATAAATATTTTGAACAATTTGGTTTAATAATGGTGTTAACCAAATTGGAAATATTTCCGAATGTTTATATAGTAACCAGATTCAATATCATAGTTTCAGTCAGTATAGCTTCGACGGAAAGAAGCTTCTCAAATTTAAAATTGTATAAGACGTACTAGAAAAGTATGATCCAAGAGAGACTACCATTTGAAATTCTATAAACTGAAGCGAAAATAGCTGGCGCAAATTATTAAAAATTGAGTGAAGCTAAAAGTAGGAAATTTAATTTATTTTAATTTGTATTTATTTTAATTTGATTAGCAATAAAACTTTCAATCATGCTTTGTTATATTAGTGAATATAACTCATTTACTTTTACAACTGGATTATAAAGAGGGCCTCGCAATTCTAATGTCGCCGACATCCAGAGTTGGTCTAGCTCCGCCACTGATTGTTAGTTAATAAAAATTATTATTTTGAAGCATGCTTTGTATCGATTATTCTTTGAAACTTGTTTAGGATTGAATTCATCATACTGAGTACATAATTGTAATAAAATTAATATATCCGACAAAAAATTCTAAATTTTACTGACTTTATAAATCCTATTATATCATTGGTTAGCTGATAGGTTACATAGTTATGTAATATATCAATAAATGAAATTTAAATGAAACCATCTAAAACTATTAGTATTTAAACTTTTTAATCTATTCCAAAATGCTTCTCATTTAATTTAATATTTATTTCAATTTTTATTACATGTGTTTTGACCATACGCAGTCACCATTAAGGAGACTCAAATATCGAAGATAGCGCAAAAAAATTCTTGCTTTAGTGCTAGCATGAATCACTTTAAAAATCTTTGCAGTTTTCCTTTTTTTTAATATTGCTTTGTGTGTGGTCACACATTTGCTATACATATGGTGTAGGACATTTAATATTCTTTTAACATATATTAAAATTATGGTACGTATTGCATATACACAGAACAGCTGTAATACATTGGCATTCGGGGAAGGTACTTGAATTTTGTATGCCAAAGTTGTGATAGCATATTTATGTATTCTAAAGTCAAGTGGCTTGATAAAATTAACAGAGTAATATCAACCACTTTATGCACGATATAGGAATTACTTTCTTCGCAAATTTAATTATATGACTCGATAAGAATTTTCATTAACATTTCTTATATATTCAGTTACAGGTTTTTCTATAGTTTTATTCTTAATTTACTAAATTACATAAAATTAACTTAATATGAATTTACAATCGGCAAATTAAGTTACTACATTTGTCAGAATAAACATAGTTTTTTCTTTTGCATCTAATTTCCATTATGTAAATAGGATTTTTTTTTTTTGATGTCTTATGAGATTTAGTATTTACATTTTCGAATTTTATAAAATTGTACACATTCTGAACAACAACTTACATTCTGAACAACAACATATCCCTTTCCAACTTTCTGTAAATAATTTGACTGTCTCAGTTTGTTTTTTCAACCGTACCGACTAAAGACGTTCTTTTAAATTTATTTTGTAATTTGTTAGGCTTTATCTTTTCCTTTAAATCTGGAGTCTTTATATTATTTATATATATATTATGCAGTTTCAAAATCAATAGAATGTTGAATGTTAAAAATAGAGAGACAGATACAAATAGAGAGATTTTTATTTTTCTAAGAAAAATATCTATTAATCCATATCGTAATAAAATTAAAATTAATTTTGAAAAGAATTGTTAATTTTGTGAAACAATTTCGGCAATTTTGGTTATACGACACAATGCGAATAGAATATTTGTATATGCATAAATAAGCGACCAAATATCCAAAATTCCCATTTTATTTCAAATGGGAAGAATTGCATTTCAAGATTTGCATAATTGGTATTACGTAAAAGTTCAATTTATCAATTGAAAAAATAGTTGTAATTTTTAATTCAGAAATAACTTCTTAAAGACAATGAGTAATAATTCTTTAAAGTTTTTTGCAAATTAACAACAATCTCATAAATAATCTAAATTTAATATATTAAATACTCTCAAATTATAAAAAATTATTAACTGCAATTATTATAGACTTATCAAACAGCCCTCGTACGTGTAGTTATATTGAACAGAACACTACATTATTGTTAAATAATATATATACAAATTTATATAATTTATATATACATATATGAATATATAATATTATATTCATTATATATATAAAACATATATATAAATATATATAATGAATTAATTATAAAATATTCTTTTATATATATATATATATATATATTTCCTTTTTTTTGACTTTAGTCCAAAAAGGGGCTGGTCGCCTTCAGTAAAAGATCGGCAATGAATATACTGATTACAGAAGCAATAAAACAAGCCATCGGTAACAATAATAATAAATATATTTTATAGAGATAACATGTATATATGCTGCAAAACAACAAAATTATAACTACAACAACAACAAAACGACATATTTCTTATAAATAGAAGCTCAAACAAGATTGTTGACCAGTTACCAACAACTAGTCAGTTTGTCAGCAACTTTTTACGACATCTCAAAACTAAAAAACTTGTATTATGAATTTTTATTATATATATTTGCAAAAGCGAAACAAAAAAAACTAGAAGATCATATGATACTGTTTTAAAGATAATAGAATTAAATCAATTCAAACTAAAAAAGTTTTTTCATTTTGTGCAAGGCACCCTCGCTTAATATTTGAATAGTGTGGAAGAAATAATACTGTGTGTGTGTGAACTTAATTAAAAATTTCTTTTAGTTTTTTATAAAGAATTTAATAAACGAATTAAAAAAATTTATTTTAAAAGTGAATGTATTAAGTCGTAAAATGACTGGATTTAAAGCTAACGCCAGTGACAGTTTAATAACTAATAACAATAATGAAAACTTAAATAGTACAAGAAATACATATACTGCTCGAGAAAACTCTTCGTAAGTTACGTATTTTTAAGCGAAATTTTAAATGAGCACCAATAATTTTTTACTTAGTGCAACTATAATTATTAACTAAATATTAATTAATGAGATCTATTGAATATAATAAAAAAATATTTACAATTTATAGTTTTGATTAGAAACATTTTTCCAATTATTACTACTTTAGATAAGTGTTAGTGATTAGTGAAAAATATCATTTAGTTTGAATTTTTTTCTTATTAATTTTTTATCATTCGTATTATAAAAATAATATCCTATTAGTTTTGAAAATAACATGTAATAAAAACGATATTCTCATTTCATATAAATATCCATGTGAAATTCGAAATGTATTCATATATATATACATATATTATATTTATTTTATTATGAAACCAGAAATCAGAAAACAAAACAACGTCCACAAATAATTATGAAAAAAAAAGAACTGTATTATATTATACGTAGATACTAAATCCAAGATACAACTACTACTAGTAATTTAAGTTAAAATATTATATTTTGTAAAAGAGAAAATGTAAAAGTTATCACGTTTGTTACATGGATTAAAGAATCAAATAAAAATATTAATCAGTACACATATATACATACATATATGTATAAAATCATGAATTAATACAATATTTCAATATTATAGTTTAAGATACGTTTTCTTTATGCTACTGTTTTTAAAATTTTATTAATATATTTCAAATGTTTGATATAATGTTTAAATTAACTTATATTTCAATAAATTTAGCTGTATTTTACTATTCATATACAATAATCATATGCGTAGTGGAAAAACCAAAGTGAAATGCCCTTGATCTATGACAGATATTTACGTACATATAAATGATTTTATGAATTGAACTGGCAAAAATTAAGAAAACATGATAACACCACAATTAAAGTAATAAATAAAAAAACAACATTTAAAAACAAAATAATTTATCAGTATTCGAATCAGAAGATTCATATGTATGATGTTACGAATATGTGAGAAAATTAATAACTGAATTGTTGTTTATATTATTAGATGTATGTTGTTGCCTTTTTCATTTACACATACACAGATTGCACGAAAAAATAAAACAATTTTAATTTCATCTTCAATTGTGTCAATGTTTGGTTATTTACAAAAAAATATTGGTTCTAAAGTTTATAAATTATGTTAATCAACATCAACTATCAACATAAGCATGAAATAACTGTAAACGTTCTTAACCTAATTCTAGTAATGTCATAAATATAATATATAAATATTATATATATATAATATATATAATATAAATATATCAACTAATTTACTAGAACAGAAATATTGATTTTTCTTTTATTTTTTTACCCTATTACTTAAATAAAATTTTTTATTTATAATTGGCATTATTTTCGTGGATCTGAATTGTATACATTATATAATAACTTATACATATTTTATATTTCAGAGACAGTCCTTTTCAAATGCAGGAGTATTTGAGTAGAGACGAGACGCGGCGCACGATAATAAACGAAGAAAAGTTTGTTGAATATATATTTATTTAATTTGATTTCTTAAGCGACATGGTCTATTTTGTAAAGTATTACGTGTTCTTTTTTTATTGTTTTCAAAATATTTGCTTTGGGTATTAGATTTTATCTTTATGGTTCTCATATTTTTATAGTTATTCGCTCCGTGTTTAAACAAAATGCAATTGGATTTAATCGTAAATTGGTATTCAATAAGATTGTTAGTACTTATGTTTAAAAAAGCGACTAATATATGTATACCATTCATCCGATATATATTTACATTATGACATATTAAAAGCAGGAGAGATAACTTTTTGGGCAAATTTTCAAATTTTAAATTCAATAAAAATGTCATTAAATGGTTAAACTGAACAACTATTAAATACTATACATCAAATTGTTATATGTCAGGTCTATAATAACAAACAAATTAATATCATTTTTTAAAGTAGAAGCATGCATTACTTAATATAAGTAAAATAAATTTATAATATTATTGCTGGTAACTTAACAGCAGAGATAGGTGAGGAAATATTGAAAAGTGAAAAACTTTTCTAATCAAAACTGGATCTTCAAGGTTCAGTTTTCATTTGAGGAATATATATTATATATATGTAATAGTACGCAACAATATTGTTTTATAAAGCTGAAATCGATACTAGTTTCTTAACATAGACAAATAATTTTCCTTACACGGATTCATCTAGCGAAATCTTCAACATATTTTTACATTATAACTCGGAACAATTAGTTTTATGTAAAATTATTTAAGACAAAAAATTTTTAATTCACACATATTTCTTTAATTTCTTTCAGGGACTAAAATACAGTCGGAAAATAATTTGCACGATATATTTTATTTAATAAAAAATTGATGTATGTACATTTTATAATGTTTTACTTAAAAACTAAAACTATTGCACTATTGAGATAAACATAAGTTCCATGAAAAATGAATACACCTTTGTATGAAATTTTTATCTACCGTTGATTACATAATTGATTACATAAACATATACTTTTGTTTTCTTTTTTTTTGAATTTGTAACTTTAAAAAATGAATGAATTTTTAAAATGTTGACAAGTTAGTTCATATATTTGACTGAGCACTGTATAAAAATTTTCGGTAATTCGTACAAGACTATTGATATTAGAATCCTCTCCAATTGAATGAAATAGAAGGCCTCACAGTTATAATAACACCATTTTAAAAGCACATACAAAATTGGAAACAGTATTTTCAAATGATTTCTAACAAATTATATTTACATTTTATTTATTAAAAACAGTAAATTAAATATTGAACTTGCTAATCACTGACAAAGTACTTACATTAGGGATTTAAAAATGATTTTTTCACATGATATGTGCGAATCCATTGAAATATATAATAATCTTCATCTTCATGCATTAAAGTATCAGCCCATTAGAAATAAGTGATATCAGAAATAATGATCATTTTGAAAAACTGTACAGGAATTGTTCATGTTAAAGACATAAATTGTCAGTTTTCAATAGAAAATGGTTTCTAAAATGGAGAAAACATTCTACATAATTAAAGATATCAGAGATGGTAATTTTGAAAAACGGTACTGGAATTGTTGGTAATAAAAATCTAACTTTTACTTGTCGAGAGAAAAAGTTTTTAAGGAAACATTCTACATGATTAATACAAATAGTTATTTCGAATTATAAGGAAATACAAAGATAAGTTTAAATATTATTTAATTTGAGATTGCTCTATTGTCTACATGGCTTTTTACGAAAGAAGGAATACGCCGGTCAAAAGTTAGCATTGTATGCTAATATCCTTTTCAACAACTTTAAGAAAATCTAAACCTTCAAAAACATTAAATCAATGCTGTAGGTGGAGCAGCTTTATGATTTTTTTGTATCATTTGTATAAACTTATAATAAATACTTTTAATATGTACAAATCCACCATGGCTCCAATACAGTGACTTTCTTCGTCACTGGAAAACAAAACAATTTTGAAAAGACTGCTTGGTTTTGAAACCGGCATATGTAATGCTGCTCATGTAAATATTATTAACAAACAGTGTTTCTTGTGTTCAATATTTCATGCTGCTTATGTAAACAATATATTATATTGTTTACGTATTATATTAATACGCATAAAAAAAATTTCTTAAAAGTGAATCCGAAAATTTCAATTAATTAAATGTTAATCTTGTTAAACTTACTAGAAACATATATGAAAAAGTATGAATTATTACTATTTACAAGTTTATTTTCTGTTTTTAAAATGTTTTCTAATTTCACCTCACTATGGTAGACTATGAGGGTTAAAGTTTTCAACTATTGTATTTGTATAATAAATCATGATTTGATAATTTTTTAGACACTAATGCATTCGACGAATGTCTATGACTTCATTTTCTAAAATGCAATTCATTTTTAATAGTTTTATTATAAGTAGGTGTTATAAGTAATAAGAATAAGTTCAACTGAAATAAAACAGAAACATAACAACTGGCATGAAAGAAAGCTCTCACAAATTGATCGATTACAATAAAAGATAAAAGTAATTTATTTTTGCATATCATCAGATCTCTTTTTCCTCACTGGCTTATTTAGTTATATTTCCTTTATTTGCAATTCCCCTCCTTTAACAGAAAGACTGCTTTCCGGGTTTCGTACTTCCATTTTAAATTTTAAATTGATTAATAAAATAATTTCTTGTAGGTATTCCATGAAACTGAAGTTATAGAATATACTTTCATAGAAAACAAAATATCAAAGTGATCTCAGGCATTTTTTAATAACTGCAGGTACTAGAATAGTCTGACTCAATTGGTTCAGTAAAAGATATATTTTAATCATTAAGTAATTACCAGTTAATGATTAAAATAGAGATTTTCAAAGTACTTATCTTTTATTTACTACTATATTGCAACCTACAGATCTCTTTAAAAAGCAACTTTTTTCATTTTTTTTTACTCTACTGCTATTTACATCCTTAACAATGTTATTCTCATTATATATGTATTCCTCACAATATTTCTCTTCCAGAAACATATGGTCTTTTCCTTTTGTGGTATGGTGGCAATAGAGCAATAGAGATTTTACGAATAATGTAGCAAAAGCAAAGAAAATGCATCAACCTCTTATTAGATATATATTAATTTGTAAATTGTAATATAAATAACATATTCTAAATATATGTACGGTAATATTAAAATAAAATTGTATTAAAAATAAAATTTACTTTTATTTAATTAAGTAATATATATTAATTTGATTTAGATTTTATTAAATTTTAATATTAATTTGATTTATATAATATATAAATTAAAAGTATTTTTAGACATTTTTGCTTCAAGTGTAAACCGGGCCTAAAAGTCTATCGAAAATCTTTTTCATATATGTAGTATATGTTAATTAGACTTTTATTAAAAATTAATAATTTACTTAAAGACAACACACTATGAAAATAAAATATATTCAGCTCCAACTTCTTCGCTCTACTTCTTCTTTTCTTTCTTTGACAGTTCTTTTGTTTGAAATCGCTGTCAGAACAAAGGTGTTGAAAGGTTACATTTTATATTACGAACTCCTACATATATGAATGTATGAAAGCTTTAGCACTGACCTTTCTCAGCAACTTTAAAGTTGCGTGTCTACACACATATGTATATAAAAACCCAAAAGAAATTTTTTCGGTATTCTTTGCATTTTTACGGCAAATATAGTGGACATTTTGTTACTTTAACAACTTTTAATAAAATTAACTGAACTCTTATTCTTGAATTGCGAATATCCTGTTTGTTTTTGTTTTTGCTTTTAAGATGTCATATGCTACATAGTCCTTTAAAAATATCTTACCTCAAACCAAGTTTAAAAACCATTAGAAATAAATGATTCCTCAATAATTTAATAATAAAATTATTACGAAGTCTTTAAAGATTGTCATATTAAACTTTACTAATAATATAATATACAATATGCAATACGTAAAGTCCAGGAGTAAAAATTATTTGTTTAGAAAATCATTTATATATTTCACCGTCTTTTATTATGTTAATCTTTTGTATCACAAGACTTTATATATGTTTTATGTAAATGTATATTTATATTTATATATTAAAATAATTCAGTATATTTTATTATTTCTGATTTGATTTTAGTTACTCATACGAAGTTATAAAGGATATAGCAGACTACTTGCTTAACCGCACAGAAATACGTCCCAAAATTGGCATTATATGTGGAAGTGGTTTGAATTCATTGGCAGATGGTCTATTAAATACTCAAGCTTTTGATTATGAAGATATACCAAATTTCCCGGTTTCAACAGTAGAAGGACATGTTGGACGCCTGATATTTGGATATATTGAAAACATGCCTGTTATAGCAATGCAAGGCCGTTTTCATTACTATGAAGGATATCCATTAGCAAAATGCTCAATGCCTATCCGAGTAATGAAACTTTTGGGTATAAAATTTCTTTTAGCAACTAATGCTGCAGGTGGTTTAAATCCAAAATTTAAAGTTGGCGATATTATGATTGTTCGTGACCATATTAATATAATGGGATTTGCTGGAAACTCGCCTCTACAAGGTCCAAATGATCCAAGATTCGGACCTCGTTTTCCACCAATGACGAACGCGTATAACGCAAATCTAATAAATAAAGCAAAGCAAATTTCTAAAGAGCTAGGTATTGAAAATAATGTTCATGAAGGAGTATATACATGTTTAGGTGGACCCAATTACGAAACTGTAGCTGAACTGAAAATGCTACATATTATGGGTGTGGATGCTGTAGGCATGTCTACAGTACATGAAGTTATCACCGCGAGGCATTGTGATTTGACTGTGTTTGCTTTTAGTTTAATAACCAATAAATGCGCTTTAGAATATGACTGTGATGAAGACGATGCTAATCATGAAGAAGTTGTAATGGTAGGAAAATCTCGACAAAGTATATGTGCAGAGCTTATGCGTGGAATAATTCGTGAAATCTTTTCACAAAGTGAATGTAAAAACGATAAATAATAATTTCAAAATGTATTCATTATATGAGTGTATAATATTATCTAAAACTTTAATTGCCTTGTGTTACGTTTTTCTTTTAGGTATTTGATGTCTTAAGATAGAGTTTTTTACAAAGAGAATGCTAGTTATTCCTATATGCAATTAATGTTCACTACTTAAATAATAAAAAAAATAATATTAAATTAAAAAGATGCTTTCATTTCTTATATTAATATTTTCATTTTATGCTAATGTCTGTTTTACTTTAAACACATGTTAAAAATGTTAAATTAAGTTTAAAACTAAATATTACAAAATATATCTGAGCAGAATTTTGGCGGAATGCAAATATGTGTACATAAAATTAACAAATGATCCAAAACAAAGAATCTCACATCAATGTAAAAATATACATATATCTAAGCATGATTTAATAATGCTACACTTTGAGATTATAATTCGTTACTATACGATCAAAAGTTATTAAATGTATTTATACAATATTTAGTTTGAAAACGTTATTTCACGTAATTAGTCGTCCCTAATCTCACTTTTTTACCATGCCGGCACTAGTTGAATTATCATGAAGCATGCTATCCAATAGTTAATAGTGCTATCTATTAATTCAGAAATTTGAATCCTTTGCTAATGCTCGGCGTTTGTATTTCGGCGAAAAAACCTCGTTTGCGTGATTGAGTGTCACTAGAAAACATTATATATAATGCTTGTATGGATATATGCATGGAGCTATAAAAACGGTTCAGCTCAACTATAGATGTAATATCAAAATAAAAGAGTGTTTTAACAACAACTATGTTTGAAAACAAAAGAATACCAGTCGAAGATATTAAAAAATTGATATTGCTGATTAAATTAATTATTGTCACTATACACTAAATGTTAAATTTAATATATGATAGAAATTTTAGATAGAATAAATAATAAATCGGAACTTTGCAACAAAAAATTAATGAATAATGGCATTATTATTATTAATTTAAATTTGCACACCATATTATAGAAAACTTGATATTAAAAAACTATAGGTTAATATAGAAATGCTCTTATTACAGATATTTATTTTGGACTACCCTTTTTATTTTTTAAATATATTATGTCAAGAACTGTCATATCTCAGTATATTAAATTATAATATTACAATATACAATATAGCTTCATTCTGATTAATTTACCACAGATGAACCAGATTATTTACAAATTTTCATAAAAAATTTCCATCGAGATACGAATGAGGAAAACATTTAACACAGTCAATACGAATTATTATATCTTCATAGAAAATTCGAATATGAAATGTGAAGTTTTGAGCTCATCCAGTGGCTTCCAAGCTCAAATATTTTTTATAAACGAAGCTACATTTCTCACTCTATCTAATTACAGTATAAAGTTATAGTTAGTAGATCGAGCTACAATTTATCGAGAAAAAAACATACAAGGAAAACATACAAAGATATACAAGGTCAAGTGTCTGATTGCATCAACTTGGTAAATGCCAGTGCGATCCTTGTCACTGTTCTCTCTAAATTGACACACAGCCTACAAATGGCCCCCTCTGAATAGCTACAATCATCCGTGCGAAATCCAACTCATGGACATATGAGGTTATGCGTCGGGCTTGGAGCCCAACATTTAAAAACACCTTTCAATGAAAACGATAACAATAAGGAAATCGGATAAGGAAATAATTTACTGATGACGGCAATCGCAAGCGATATAAAGAACATGATTTAAAAATATGCACCTGGAATGTTCGAGCTCTTTACAGAAATGGTGCATCTATACAGCTGATAAATCTCCTTAAGAAATGTAAGGCTAACATTACCCCCCTTTTAGGAAATGCGATAGACGAGGCAATGATGGTCTAAACGAGAAAATTGTGTCATCTACTACAGCTACTATGCAACAAAGCACGAATTTGGAGTCGGATTTGCGATAAGCCAAAAGTTGAGAAATTTGGTCTCCACATTTACATCAAGAAACGAAAGGCTTGCCAAAATTTGTATTAAGGCAACTTTTTATTACAACAGTTTAATTTGTGCACATACCCCGACGGACGATAAAGATGACGACACCAAGGAAACGTTCTGTTAACAGCTGGAACAAGCATATAATCGCTGTCCCTATCATGACGTCAAAATCGTTGTAAGTCTTGCCAAAATTTGTATTAAGGCAACTTTTTATTACAACAGTTTAATTTGTGCACATGCCCCGACGGACGATAAAATGACGATACCAATGAAACTTTCTGGTTTACGCAATATCACAAGCATAAGAGTGAATATTTAAAAAAAAAGCTATTAATAATCATATATTCATTAATCAAATCATATTGAATCATAATAATAGAAATGAAATTAATAAATAAATTAAATTATTAATTTCTCATATTAAATAATATACATTTATGTGTATGTTTCTTTATAAATATGAATATATATACACATAACATAGAAGAAAAAGTCTGCGGTCCCCCACATAATTTTTTTTAAATTTCGCATAATATTTTTAATTTTTACTCAAATTGATTTTTGTTTTCTGATTTATTTTAACCAAAGAAACAAGAATAAAGTTTAAACATAAACAATTAACAGTTATTCTTAAAAAAAAATAAACACAATTAAATGCAAAAGCAACAATTTTCAAAGCAGAAACAGTTTGCGGTCACTTCTTAATGTTTCAATTAAAACAATTAAAATTCACAGAAACCTACAATTTAATAGCCTCAACCAGCTTTGTAGTAACCTGCGCATTTATTTTTAGCCATTCTTCCTTGATGACATTTCTTAACATATCCTTGCTGGAAATCATGTGCTGGCGAATCTTATCTCTGAAGGTCTGATGATTCTGGTAGTGTTTAAATTTGCCTGGGAGAATGATTCAGCAGTCAAATCCGTACAATCGCTGCTGTATGCTCAGAATCGTTGTGCTGCTGGCACAAAAAGGTTGCCTCAAGCCCTAACATTCTGGCATTTTCTTTCAAATTTATTTTTAGTATATTTAGATACCCATGTTTATCCATTGTATCTTGTACAAATTCAATTCCGACAGCACCATTATTTGCTATACACCCCCAAACTATTGCGCTTCCACTAACATGTTTCACCGTTGAAAATAAGCTTTGTTTATCATAGGCTGTGCATAATTTTCTCCATACAAGTTTTCTAACTTTGATTCCAAATATGTAAAATTAACTCACATCGGAGAAAATAACTCATTTCCAGAACTCCATAGCTTCATAGCTTATTCTATTATATCTGGATATGTATGTCTTCTTTCCTGCAATCAGGGTATAATACATGCATTTCTTCATAATTTTCCGCACAGTATCAGGACATATTTTATTTTCAAGTATTTCGGCAATATGTTCAGCTAGTTTAAAGGCTGTTACTCTTGGATTTACTTAAACCTGGTTGATTATAATACGTCTTTCTCTATTTGACAGAATTGAGGAGCGACCAGTGCGAGGTTTAGAAACGTAACTACTCGTCTCTGAAGTTATTTATAACTCTCTACACAGATGGATATTGACGACCAATATCTTCAGCAAGTTTTCTTTGGCTTACGTCATCTTTCCAAAATTTATCTTTCCAAACAGTTATTTGTCGCTCACTAAAACTAATTTCACGTCTTTTATTTTATATTGTAAAAATTTATTGCTTATATAGAAAAATATTATTAAATGATTAATTTTTAGACTCCTTAGTAAGTCAACTAATAATTAAATATCATTTAATGACAAGTTTATGCTTGCAAGCGAATTTAAATTAACGGAAAATATTAATAATAAGAAATATCCGTAGACTTTTTCTGCTTCAAAAATTGCCGCTTTTGCATATAATTGTGTTTAAATTTTTTTAAAGAATAACTGTTAATTTTTTTATATTGAAACTTTATTGTTGTTTCTTTGCTAAAATAAATCAGTGTTTTTTTTAATTTGTAAGAAAATATTTCTGTATACAATACAAAATTGAATTTTAAGTGGAACAGCGTGGAACAATACAACTTTCTCTTAATTTTATATGGACCTTTAACAATTTTAATCATAAAAATTTAGTACCAATATAGCTGTTTAATTTCTTACTTGAAAATTTGTTATTTAGATATTATTGTTTTATAGTCTACTTACATTCAAAAGTTTATATCATTTTACTTCGTAGCGATTTAGTTTAAATTAAAGATTTTATTTAAATTTAATAAGCGTCTGCGATTGCTATCGTGGCGGAATTAAAAGAAAAAAAAAACTTTTATAAGTTATTTATGTCTTAAACCCAACACAAAATAAAAACATCCTTAATTTAAAACTTTTATTTTACTTTTGGCTAGCTTTTCGGCAATCGACCGCACTATGTGCCATGGCTAGAAACATGGTAGTATCAGATTCCAACAACTCCCGATCAAAACACAAGATCTCAAATTGAGCACGTTGTGATAACCGAAATGAATGTTTCCCATGTTTTAGATGTACGTATTACATGTAGCAAACATCGACTGGGATTATTATCTTGTTGCAGCCAAGATGAAAAAGGTACGTGAACAAGCATAGTGAAAGCTAGACGTCGGTAAGCTGAAATCACAACAGACAGCTAATGAGTTTGCTACTCGAGTCTCCCAATATCTGAAAGCTACAAATTTATTTAAGAAGCAACAATTAACGTCTATGCTTATGCAGCATAAAGCAATTTAGTCTTTCTGCATATATATTCTGAACGATAAAAATAACTCTTAGGAACGCTTTTTTATCTTTATAATGGCAGTTCTTGCCTTTTCATTTCGTACGCGTACTTGTTTATAATGATCCCATTGTTCATTGAGTTAGCAACTTAGATATGTATACATATGGATCCTTCTTATATCTCAACACTTTGAATTGTTGTTCATTGTTTTATTACATTTATTTTCAAACTATATTTCCTTAATTTCTTTCTACATCGTTTAAAAGATTCTATAATTTCTTTAGCAAATCAGCAATTAGTTCTGTGTTCTATGCGCATCTCAAATTTTTAAATCGTACATATTAGCCATAATCCCATTTACTCCATCAGTTATATATAGTTTCCAAATAAATATTCAATACCAAGGATAATAATACGCTTATTAAGCTTAAACATTGCTCTCCACATATGAAAAATTATCCTCAATAGATAAATTTCTGGAGTCTTTCCTTTCCGAAGTAAATATCGCCACATATTTACTTCGCTCTCATCGATATAGTTCCACCACAGCTATTAGCAAGATCACCGCTCAAATTAAGGAAGGTTGTAAGCCCACAATACTGGTTAGACTTGATCTCGCTAAAGCATTTGACACAATCTTTCACAGTTCTACTTAACGACTTGAGTTTAGACTGTTTCTTATTTTACAAATCCATGGATTGCAACTATCTTGGAAGTAAAACGCATTATGTTAATTTCAGGCCTTTTTATAGCCAGAAAATTGAAGGAAGGGCAATGTTCTTTGGCAAAACTTTTCAACCTATATATGTTCAAACTCCTGGAGCCGAAGGAGTCAGAGTCGTAATGTATGCGGATAATTGTACAGTTTTCTCAACGATCTTATTGGTCTGCACAAAAAATTTTATGCACTCCATCACCAAGTGGCTAAGTATTTTCATGATAAAAATCTCTACCTTTCCTCCATGAAATGCTTAGCCACCTTCTTTTTTTCGTGGACTAAAACTGCCCATTTCAATCGGTGAATTCACGATGCCCACCACCAACAAACCTGAAATTTTGGGTGTTAACAGTATGCTTACATATTCCGCATATGCGGTAGCTGTACGTGGCTAATTAAAAAGTAGTAACAAAAAAATCACATGTGTGTTTTTTAAATCAGAATAATAAGGTTCCTATCTACAGCATAAAAACAGGTTTCACTGTACTGAAAGTAATCGCGGCTGTTCTCAGCATAAAATGAAATGCACTCTACTAGTCACATATAAAGCAACAGGGGAACCTATTGCGGCCTATACTGTACCAATATGGACCCCATAGTTCAGTGAAACACTTTTTGTGCTTCAACCGGTTGTCATCGTATGTCGTATATTAACTACCTTCATACGAAATTTCTAAAATATCTTGGTAAAGAACATAAGTTAGTATCAGCTAGCTAGTTGTTGTTGTAATCCACTGGAACCTGTAAGCAGATAACTTGAAAGGATATACAACACGATTACATGGGTAGGGAAGTGGGTGGGTAGTGGTTGGGGGAGATATGAGAAGAGGATGAGAAGTATTGGGTGGGTGGAATGAAATTGAACATTAATCTGGATCCAGCCGGAGAAACCGGGCAACTTCAATAGGGTGAGTTCAAAGGTCAATTGAACGAATGTTTGTGTGTGTGCTAGGACAGGAGAACAGATGGGCGACGTCATGGGGAGAAGAGCTGCAATTAGGGCACACTTTGGAAATATACGTGTTCATGCGCGATAAGTAACTATTTAGCACTTGGCTATATCCCTATCTCAATTGAGCTAGAACAGGATCCAATCGGTGTAGCTATGCAAACCTAAACAATTTTGGAGGTGGCACAAGTTATTGCAACTGTTGCACCTTACAGATGCTTGGTTTCTGCTTATGGGGGTGTGGTAGACAGAACAGTGCCAAATTGAAGTGAGAGGTCCAATAGGACTAGGATTGGGTTCAATACCGGCAATTAGAAGTAACATAAGAAGCAAGATGGCCGGGACTTGCTTCTTAGTGGGAAAAACACATATAAACGATATATGTCAACGAATACATACCTGCTTGCGAAGTCCCTTTTGGAGGGTTTGAACGGCACTTGATCGTAGTGTATCCTTCATTAATTATGGTATAAAATCAGAACACAGAAGAATTATATATTATACAATTTTACATCAATAAATATAAGGTCGACTTTTTATTTAATATTTTTGTGTTAGGTTTAAATATTGCATGGCACAATATTAAATGACAAATTTTTCTTATAATAATAAAAACATGAATTTATAAAGCAATAAAAGTATTCCAATATTTATAAAAAAATTGTCAAATTTAAATTTAAAAATCTTGTTTTTTAAAGAAATATTTACATTACAATACAAATGTTAATATTGCTGTGAAAAAAACTAAAATAAACCTTTTTCTTTTTTTATCGAATTTTGTTTCCATAAAGGCATTGTTTCAAATTCAGTACGTGAAATCCCAACAAAATCATAGAAATCTTTGTCACTTAGATATATTTCCAATTGAGTTGGATCTACGCCTTCTGGTAATGGCCGGTTTAATAATGTTCCTAAAGAATATTTTTTTTGTGATAGCTGTGTAAGTACATCAATTATTGAAGCATCTTTCTCACAGCGTCCATCCTATGTAAGATATAAATTAAAGTAAATAAATATTTTTACATACATTAATTAACTACATACCCGTATATTAATTTCAGTTATGTCAGTTCTATTGGTCCAATCTGGAAAAAGCGACTTAAACTCAATTGGTTCTAATCCAGCCCAAACTACTTTTCCGTTCACATTATGTAATTCAGTTTCAGTATCACCTTAAAAAAAAATAAAAAAAATTATTTATTATTAACACGGTTAACTCAGCTTTGACACAATATAATTTGAATAAAACCAATTTTACAAAAGAGTAAAAGTGCGCGCACTAACTCAAATCACAACAACAACACCAACAACAACAACAACAACAACAACAACAACAACAACAATAATAATACTAACAACGAAATAAAATCTAGTATTTTTCTAATGTTTTGAATAAAATTATAGTTACATTGAAAAAATACAAAAACAAAATTTGCACTTTAATTTTCTTAAAATAACAAAACTTACAAAAAAAAACATTTTAAAAAATAATAGATTACATAATACATATACAGTAATGTATTATGAATCAAACTATATGTAAAATTAATTACCAAATTTCGCTTTCCAGTATGACACAGCTGTTTCTAATGCTGCCCGCTTTTCAACGATTTCAAAACGATTCACACCAGCTCTATTTTCATTCATTGTATATTCGTTATCGGTAGAGTCTGAAATTAATAGAATTTAAAGTTTATTACTTCTACATTTAGTATATATGCGATATAAAAACAATAAAAAAAACATACGTTGATTATAATTTGATGGCCACCAACCCATCCATATCCAGAGAATATCACTGTCGTCAATCATAAATATGGATGGTTGACGAACACTGTATAACTGCGATTGAGTGAAGGGATATGAACTATGAAAATCATTAGAACGAAGAGGATATGAAATTTCATGTGCATTAAATATTCCATCTATGCTTGTAAAATGAAATAATCTGATTGTGTAATTGAATGTTTTATTTACACTGTTCAATAAGCTACCATAATTATATAATTCGCATTCACCATCTATCGCTTTCTTAAATTCATTATTTTCTGATCCTTCTTCAATAACTTTGATTTCTATAACTTGTGTTGTTTCGAAAAAGTCTTCCGATTTTTCATCTTTTATTACAGACGCCACGTTTTGAGCGATTTCACGAGTATGCTTAAGACTTTTACAGCCATGCCAAATAAATATGTCTCCACTTTTGCCATGTAAGCATAACATCGATGATCTTGAACGTAATTGGGAATAATGGCAGTTCACCTCTTTAACAACAGTTTCTTCGTTCATATTCCCAGTAACTATATAAAGTCTCCAGTTCTTACGGCGCAATAACAATTCAATTTTACGCCCTTTATGTTGAAACATAATATTGAAAAGACGAACAAACGCAGTGGGTTCGTCACCTTGTGTAATACGAAGTTGAGATCCCTTTTCCATATCCATTTCTACAGTAAGAAGTGCTGCAGCACCTTTTTCATTAGCAGTTGATTCAGCGCCTTGCCAACAAAAATATGCACAACGATTGCGCCCAACGTTACTTCGTTTTGAAATGTTACCACTTAGTTCTTTTACAGTTATTGAAATTTGATAGATCCAACGTATAATATAACTTTCAGCAGAGTAAAAATGTTTATATCTTTCTGGTTTTTCAATATCGAAATTATATTCATTAATTTTCCATTTATTTACAGACTTTGTATTAATTTCGAAGTGACGCCGTGTTTCCTCCTCAAAATAATAATTACCACGCCCCAGATTCGCATTTTCTAGAACCAAATTAGGTTCAGTAATATCCTTAGAGCTATATAATAATTCACCATCTAAAGAATTTACGAAACTACAACTGCTTGTTGAATAGTCTTTTGCTAGGTCTTCAATTGAAAACTCGGGCCAATCACAAAATTTTTCCTTAAACAGAATAGTTTCCATATTTTGACTAATTTTACCTAATATACACCACTGATTACGACTATCAATAGTTCTAGAATATGTTTTGTTGTTACACCAGCCCGCAAGTTGACTATAATCAAGGGGACTTAAATAACATTGTGAATAATCAACATCTCCATTTTTAAAGTATTCTTCAGCAAGATTTAGTGCAGCACATTTATCGGTCGATTTTGCATTTTTCCCATTCCAAATATACATTTCACTACCAAAATCAAACACTATGATTTTTTCAGGATTTAATAATTCCACTTTTGGTAAACAGCCCCAATATTTTTCTATCGGTTTTAAAACAAAATTGTTGTATTCGTAAATTCGATTTGTTTCAATTAAACTTATTTCAAATATATCATCCTCCTTTGCACAACCACTGTCTCGTACCTCATAGTCCCTTGGTTTTCCTAGCACTTCCCAAAACCGCTGCCAATATATTCCATTCATTTTATTATCAGAAAGCTCAATAGCAGAATTTGCACTACAACCAAGATCTTTTTTTTCTAAAATATATGAACATATAAATTTGCTGCGTGATATTTCAATAACATTAGCGAAGTGCCCAACATAACGATAAAGCTCATTATTTGCAATCAAAATAAAGCAGTCTCCAATATTTATTGACATATAGTTTGGTTCAACTATACGGCATTGAACATGTGTTCTTCCTTTAATATGTATTAGCATAACTCCATTATAAGGTAACCATTTTTGCTTTAAAGGTAACAATACTGACTTTAAGTTCACGGATTTAAAATTTTCAACAGACTGAAGACCAGCAATCGCTTCTGCAGTCAAATTCAAATGTCTATCTAAATTATAAATAATTATTATAACAGAGCAATGTTCAGTTTAAAATATTATTTTACAACTTACAATTTGGAGTTTTTATACCAATTAATTCTTCTTCTGGAATAACTCTTTTAACTTCAATATATTCAAATAAAATATCGCTGCGAGTTGATAAACTTTTTAATGGGTTACGAGAACCACGACGAGTTTTTGGACCTTTTATCACTCGTTTTGTGAGTAACCTTGAATATAAAAATTAAGCCATTAATTTTTCTTAATATTAAATGAAAAGATCCTATTAACCAGTTAAAAATCAACATATTAGTTATTAGCATATTATAAAAATGTACCGTTCTGTTGATCTCAAATTATCAAAATCTGATATTTCAATTTCAGTTTTTGAAGCTTTTACATCAATTTGACCAAAAAATTTTTTAAAAGTTTCTTCATCATCCAATTTTGGTATAAAGATACGTTCGCTAGTGTTTGTTGTGTTTAAAATATTTGTTTTAATTCTTTCAGGTTTGAATTCGTTTTCACAATTAAATTTATCGCAAAATTTAACTGAACAAACTTCATCTTCATTTAGACTTAAACTGCATTCCAAACGTGGAGCCTTACGAGTTATTTCACTAAGATTTGTAGATTTAAAATTGGAAGTAATTATCATCGATTGGCTTTTCGATAATCCAAATTCCTGATTCGTGCTGCGGATTATGTTCATTGGACATTTTTTTGCTATGTCGTCTGGGCGACGTATGATATTACAATCGTCACATAAAGTCGCTTGATTTTGTAAGCGCCCAGCTATTGTGAATTTTTCAGCATCCGATTGCTCTATAATAAAAGCGTTTAAAAAAAATAACTAAATCTATCACATTTACTTACCAATTCGATTTTTCCAATTTTGGGAAGAAGATTTCAATTTATTTAATCGATCAGAAACTTTAACTCCATCTAAACAAGATGGAATTGTTTGAGAATGTGATATTGATCTGTTAGGAAATAAATGATCAACGGATAAAGAATCCTGAAATATGAAGCAATAATATTTATTTTGTAAATTTATTTACTATAATTTTTTTTTTATAGTTTTTCTATTGAAATTGTTAAATAATCATTTTATGAAAACTCATAATTTCATTTAGGTTCTCTAATTATAAAGAAACATTTCTATAGTTAATTACAATATATATAATATGATTTGCTTAATTCGATCAATTAGCATACACAGTTCCAAAAAATAGTGAAACCAAGAAGATGCAAAATATATCTAGAAACAAGCAGATAGCTGTGACTTTACAAGCTATTATCATATAAACACAGTTATAAACACCTATATACTAAAAATTCAAAATAGAAATATACATATAGGTTCTAGGCAAGATATAGTTATATCTATCATTTTGTTGTACAAAAAATTATATATTTTAACAGCAAATTAATAAGAAACTATGTCGAAACAGAATTAAACTGCAAGAAATTATATATGAATTAATTATTACTAACTTTATGAATAATTTGCTATCGTTCAGATTTCGACACAATTATAATATGTCCATTCCGACATGTTGTATGTTCTAATTTTTATTTTGCTGTCTTTAATGAAACAAATGCTTATCTGTATATCGAAATGTACACATACGAAGGATTGACTCATCTCGTCAATAGTCTACCTAACTCTCTTATGCGTGTTTCAAATGAAATAAATTAAAAATATTCCTTTCACTCTGCATTCAAATAATGTAATAAAATTAAAGAAATGAAGAATTTAAAAAAATATATATATAATTTCTCACATTTTTTGGAGTATAGTAAAACGTTTATTATTAAGTAAGTCTTTTAATATTATAGACATTAATTGAAAACACGTTCTCCACATGGGGTTCTGTATTTTGGGCTACTAAAATCAAAATCGGATTCACTTTGTATTCAGAAATTATTTGTATTTAGAAATGATAAATGGATTTTAAATTAATAATTAATCCATAATAATTAATGTTTTTTGTAACATACAAAAATTGTATAAATCGCAAAAATTTTACACTTAAGACAATTTTAGAATTTGAATAAAATAACTTAAAAAACAGAGTTAAAAATTAATATTGAAAACTTATTTTAATAATTCAAAATAAAAACAAATAAATATTTTAATCGTGTTTTATTTTCATATTAATATACAACATAAATTTTTCAGATTTATTTACATTAGTAGAATTTTTACATGATAGTGTTTAGTTTTGATACTGTAGGTTTTAGTTTTAAAAACATCATGGCACATTTGTACACTCGTTTTGATAATTTTACTAATCATATACTTTATATTATATATAATCACCTGTCATGATACTAAGATCCATTTAAAGCATGAAGAAAATTATCTATATGCGCATCATCCATTACGAAACGGGAATTTTCCTCATTAAGCAGCAAATCACTTATTGAATATGCGGAAAGTGGGCGTGATAATCGACGCTGTGATAAAATATCATCAATGGAATTTACAGGCATTAAGTAATTACAGCTACTATTGACAGTATTTTCATTTTTATCTACATTCCGGGTAATTGTCACAATTACATCCTCTAAACTAGGTTGAACATTTAATCGTCTGTTTTGAAAAAAAGGTGACGAATTTGTGGAGGCACTTATTTTTGACGAAATTTCTACAGTTGATGCTTCAGAAGATATCTTATTTTTATATGATGTTTGAAGAAGAGATTGTGATATCATTTCGTCATATATATTCCAATCAGAGTTGACTTGAGTTACACTGTTTTTTTTCAAATTTTCAACATCATGCAATGCAATGGTGTCATCGATCTTAGAATGGAGACACATCTGCTTTTGAGCCAAGCTTTCTCGCTTTGTATAAACATCAATGCCATCATTTGTTGTTCCAAATTCTTCTGTCATTTTATTAACTTCGATAGCGTGCGTGTCCTTCGGTTGTGCTTCATATATATTTTGAAAATATTTTGAAATATTTGTGTTCGAATTCTGTTTCCGTTCATTACGAGTTACAGCTCTTCGAATTTTTACTTTTTTGGAGATGTCTTTAGTAACGTGACAACACTCATTAGGCGAATAACAACGATGATATCTATTCGAATCATAATTATTTTTTGCGAATATTTTTATTTTGTGCAGTGATTTCGGAAAAAATGTAAAAATTACAAAGAGATAAATCAAATAAGGCATAATATCAGAAAGAACTGATGCAAAATATTTTAGATACCCCATATATGCAATGTGTATTTATATATAATATTTTATTTTCATCGAATACGCACGTATTTTTTGCTATTATTTATTTACAAATTTTAATTAATTTTATTTCGTCGTTAAAATGATTCGCAATTTTGCACTTTATGTGTATATATGAATATGTTTTTCGTTAACTTAATGTACAATTAAAGAAAACTATTTACAATTACAATAGAATTGAACTAGTGTTTGCTATTTATTTAGATATTTATAGTTTTTAAAACTCAAAATAAATCTTATAAATTTGTGCATTACTAATTATTCTAATTTGTGCTGATATAAAGCATTGCCAAGCACAAATTTTTGTGCTTTATATTTTCAAATTTAAATGAATATGAATGAGTAACAATATTTTTTGCCAACAATTCGTGAATTAACATAATAGTACATTCACACTGTCTCTTTTAGATAGAGCTTTTATAAACTTCACTTAATAATATATTACACAAGAAAATTATATATATAATTAATATATTAAATCATTTATATACATTTTATATATCAATTACATATTCGATTAATAAAAAACAAAGATTTAATTAAATGCTTACTTCCCCACTGCCTTTGTTTACAGCTCAGCTGTAGTTTGTTTACATTTTACATATAAAAATATGACACATATTTCATATTTGGGTGATTTCCCTTCTGTGTAATTTATTTTTAAGGGTTACATTCGACATTTTTCGTCTTAAATCAACCGATTTATTGATAAGGAGCTAATTAATATTTTTTATTTTTTTATGGTAAATCTAAACCCCCAAATGTATGTTACATACAAGAAAGTTGAAAATTTTAAACTTTCGCTATTATCTTGCTACAAGGCATATTATTGTATTTTACTAAATGCTAAACTCTAATTGTCGAATCCGTTGTTACGGTAAGTAACGCAATCAGTTGGATAAATAAGCCATTATTTCGTTTTTAAGTGCATGCTCTATTCTTACTTTTTCCATACTTTTTTATTAAGTGTGTTATTTTCCTTGAAATCATTAATTTAAAAAAACAAAATCTCTTTGTTTAAATTAAAGTTCTTAATATCGTAAGAAGTTACTTATTCTATAAACGCATGAAATTGTTACTGTTTTATAATCTGGCAATACTGTGAAGATATTACATGCGAAATAAGAAACCACACACATGAAAAACGTAATGTATGTGTGTACACGTCAAAAAATCCCAGCGGAAAATTTCGTCTTTGGTTATAATTTTTAGTAGCGCACAGACAACTTCAACTTTTATTTCAACTTTATACTATGTTCAGACAGCCAAATTTTGTAAATTTTGTAAAAATGAAATTAAGCTAAGTTCGAAATCATATGTTTTTTGTTTACAAATCGAATGTTAAAAATTACATGCTCTAAACAGCATTTATAACTGGAATATTCTAAAAGTTGATCATTATAACTATAAAAGATGGCATTCAGAAGTTTTATTAGCTTTATTTTAAATTAATAACAGTTACAGTTTTTGGCCTACATTCAAATTTAAAAATTTGTACTACTTTCAAAATATTTTGTCGGTTGTATTGAAGTCAACTGTTACTGACATTTATTTGAAAAAAAAAATCATTCGTTATATCAATTTTATCTTTTGCTTAATATTTATCTTATGCATAGTTGCATTTGAAATGTCTCTTAATTTCAGCTTTTGTTTAAACGAAATTAAGGTCATTTTCCTTAATTTCGTTCGAACTTCAAAACTGAATTTTGTATTGAAAAAACAACTTAATTTCATTGTAACGAAGATGAAATTAAGATTTTTTGCGAAATTAAGGTGTGTCTGAACATAGTATTAAAAGATAGAATCCAAAATTTAAACTAGCTATAAACAAATTTAATTTTCAAGAAAACGTAACAGTTAAATCCACTTGCTTGCATATTTGTTTTAAAAAACTCTTGAATTCAAAATATTATGCAAATTTATATTAATAAATATTAATTAATTTTTTAACCACTGCCTAAGCTATTTGATGGTAGATTATATAAATAAAAATCATTTCCAATACGACTTTAAACCGAAGCTTTACGAAGCAAAACTTAGCTAAAAAATTTAACCAACTAGAGTAGATGCGTAAATTCATTTTTAAAGTGATCTCATACCACAAATATCATGAAACGAAAAACACAAAAATATCATAAATTATCGAGCAAATTACAAAAGTAATACATATTAGCCGCTTATAATTGAATCTTGCAAAAAAAAAACTTAATATAATATAGAGCATACGAGTTTTTGAAAAGTTCGGACTATTTTGCACTTGTCAAACATCTTAAAAGTAGTACGTTTACGTAAAACACTAAATGAATTGAATTTACTTAAATCGTCAAATCGTCCAACTTTCAAATAGGTTGCAAACATGTCTACAAAGGAGTTCTTATACTCAGACATAAAACATTGCTAAAACTATCTTTGATAAAGCCTAATCATCTATAATGCTCTTGAAAATCATCCTAAAAATGTTTCTTCATTTTTTTATTTTTTTTTGTTTGCGTTTTGTAAAATATAATAAATCAAAAATAAATACTTTTTAATGTTTCATAGTATGAGAGAAACCAGAAAAAAGTAATATATATTACAATTTTTTAATCAATTTCATAATGAAAATTACCCTAAATAAAATCAACATAATAATATATATTATTTATTATTGTTATATTATAAAAGGTAAGATCTATGTAAATATGAAATATCGATTATTTTGAAATACAGATCAAAGAAGATAAAGAAAAGAAACTGAGAGTTGCTCGACAAATTGTGTATAAAATTTTCTGGATTATTCAAATAATATTATATTATATAATAGTGCAACCACAAATGTAGTACATTTCAGTTATAAGCCATACCGATTTTAATATTTGACATTTCTGGTGTGGTGAATAAATAATAGAGATTTTTTGGGATATTACTCAAAGAGGCACAATTATTCAAAATTTCTTCTGTGTCTTTTTCTTTGATACAGATATTCACTCTAAAAATTATTTTCTTAAAATAAATATGTATATATATATACACATAGCAGAAAGTCTACGGATATTCACAAAATTTTTCTTAAAGTAAGCATAACTTTTTTAATTTTTACTCAAATTAATTTTTGTTTTCTGAATTAATTTAATCAAAGAAACAACTATAAAGTTCTAATATAAAAAAATTAACAATTATTCTTTAAAAAAATATTAAACATAATTATTTGCAAAAGCAGCAATTTTTAAAGCAGAAGAAGTCTACGGATATATTTTTATATTTACATTTACCGTTAATATAAATTCTCTTGCAAGCATAAACGTGTCATTAAATGATATTTATTTAACAGTTGAATCTAAAAAAGAGTCTAAAAATTAATCATTTAAAAATATTTTTTTATATAAAAAGTAAATTTTTACATCGGAAAATAAAAGATGTGTAATTAGTGCTAGTGAGCAACAAATAACTGTTAAATTTTGGAAAGATGACGTAAGCCAAAGAAAACTTGCTGAAGATATTGGTCGTCAATATCCATCTGTGTAGAGAGTTTTAAATAACTTCAGAGACGAGTAGTTACGTTTCTAAACCTCGCACTGGTCGCTCTTCAATTCTATCAAATAGAGAAAGTCGTATTATAATCAACCAGGTTTGAGTAAATCCAAGAGTAACAGCCTTTAAACTAGCTGAACATATTGCCGAAATACTTGAAAACAAAATATGTCCTGATACTGTGCGGAAAATTTTGAAGAAATGCATGTATTATACCCTGATTGCAGGAAAGAAGACATACATATCCAGATATAATAGAATAAAATGATTAAGCTTAGCAAGAAAGCATGTAAATGAAACTATGGAGTTCTGGAAATGAGTTATTATCTCCGATGTGAGTTAATTTTACATATATGGAATCAAAGTTAGAAAACTTGTATGGAGAAAATTATGCACAGCCCATGATAAACAAAACTCAATTTCAACAGTAAAACGTGGTGGTGAAGGCGTGATGATTTAGGGATGTATAGCAAGTAATGGTGTTGTCGAAATTGAATTTGTACAAGATACAATGGATAAACATGGATATCTAAATATACTAAAAACAAATTTGAAAGAAAATGCCAAAATGTTAGGACTTGAGGCAACCTTTTTATTTCAGCAGGACTACGACTCTAAGCATACAGCAGCGATCGTACGGATTTGGGTACTGTGTTATGCTCTCAGGTAACTTCAAACACTACCAGAATCATGAGACCTTAGTCCCATAGAACATCTGTGGGTTTATTTGGCAAATAAGATTCGCCAGCACACGTTTCCCAGCAAGGATATGGTAAAAAACGTCATCAAGAACAAATGGCTGAAAATAAACACACAGGATACTGCAAAGCTGGTTGAGTCCATGCAAAGACGCTTAACAGAGGTTATTACATGTGGTTATTATTTCTGTAAATTTTATGGTTTTAAAGTATATATTAAGAAATATCCATAGACTTTTTCTGCTTCAAAAATTGCTGCTTTTGCACATAAATGTGTTTAATTTTTATTAAAGAATAACTGTTAATTTTTTATATTATAACTTTAATGTTGTTTCTTTGGTTAAAATAAATCAGAAAACAAAAATTAATTTGAGTTTAAGAAAAATTTTGTGAATATGCGAAAACTTTTCCTGCTATGTATATATATATATATAATATATATATATATATAATATATATATATAATATATATATATATACATATATATATATATAATAATTTGCTAACAAAAGTAATTTAGTTTAGAAACGCTATTACCAGTGGCGTAACTACATTTTTTAGGCCTGTAAGCAAATTCTAACTAAGGGGCCCCTACCAACATACTAAGGGGCCCCTCTTTTTATACTCTTTACACGAAAAAATGTAAAAAGGGTATATAAGGTTTGTCAAGAGTTTCGTAACGCATTAAAGGAAACTTCGGAAATACCATTAAGTATATATCAGTATACTTTTACAGTTCAAACTACTCTCTCAGCTTTTGAACTCTTCGAATGAAACTTTATAC